TCAGAAGGTTTGCTGTGTCTGAGATGCATTTCTTGGCAGCTCCTGTACATTTCTAGGGTGAATGCTTAGGGAAGATGTCTGAGGATCACTGGGTTTTTTCCTTTATATAGTTGTAGAGGGTGTATATGTGAATTCAGCTTCCCTGGTGACGTGGTGGTAAAGAATCCACCTGCTGGGGAAAAAAAAAAAGAATCTACCTGCTGGTGCAGGAGATACAAGAGATTCTGCTTTGATCCCTGGGTCAGGAAGATCCTCTGGAGGAGGAAATGTATTTTTCCTCCGGTATTTTTGCCCGGAGAATTCTATGGACAGGAGAGCCTGGCGGGCTACAGTCCATGGGGTCACAAAGAGTCAGACACAACTGAAACAACTTAGCGCGCAACACGTGTTCACTTGGTCCTTTTCTGTTGGGGCTTTTATCTTGGAACCAATGGATCTTGTGAGATGGACGCTGATTCATTTTAAAGGATGTGTCCTTCCTTCCTCTGACTAGATTCCGTACCTTCCTTCTGCCCAAGAATCTTCCCTGCAGAGTTGTGTTCGCCTCTGGTTGAATTACCAGTGAATTTAAGTTGTAGGACTTTTCATGTGTCTGAGTCAGAAAAATTAACTTTGATTCATTCACCTTGCTGTGATACTGAATAATACTCTCAGATATCACTGGGATTTGCAAGTCAAAGGTGATCTTTTTTCATTTCTCTACCAGTTAACAGTCTAACTAAAACAAACTTGTAAGCTGTTTTTTTAATGGATATTTGCATTTTAAGTATATGTGTGTTTATACACTTCAGTGGTGAAATCTGCTAGAGATATTTGCATATGTCATTTTTTTATGATTCTCTGCATCTAGTAAGGAGAGAGTGAATAATGAGTCGCCCTTCCTGTTTTTTGTTCTTCAGCTGTTACTGAACAGGCTTCTTTCTGTAAGGGCTGTGCTGGGAGAACATTCCCAGTCCTCTTGGATCCTCCTGGTCAGCTGAGGTCCACTCTGTCTTCGTCACAGTTCCTGCCATCACTGGAAGGAGACGGAATTCAGGTTACAAGAGTTTAAACAGCATTTTGCTGCGTGTGTGCTCCGTGTCCGAGCATTTCAAGGAGTCACTAAAACACCCCGCTAGTCCCGTGCACTGCTCCATGCTCAGACGGTGGAGCGGACAGGACCTGTCAGGTGACTCCCAAACCCCTGGCTGCTTTTAAAGATGGCCGTGATGCTCAGATGTCCTCCAGTAGCCAAGGAAGGCAGTGGAAAACTCCTCCCCAGTCGTAGTCCAGCCAGAGACAAAGGCCTTTTCTGTGGGAGCTTGCTCCCAGTGCTAGAGTCCAAAACTCTACTTGGCACCAGCTGCCTGCGATCACAAGGGAAGGGGGGCGGGTCCGGCAGCTGCTTGGTCCCTGGAGGAGAGCAGGAGGGGGCCTTCCCTTTCTTCTCCGCATGTCCCCTCTCCTCTCTCAAGTGACACTTCATTTTTTTTTTCTTCATCTGTACATTACTGTGGTCCCCTGGAGACGAGTTAGGACTCCGCTGGGTTACTTGGAGCTTCGCCGTTTCCCCTTTCTTTGCAAATGTGGGGTTCATCATTGGTTTAGAAATTGTTAGCCTGCTCGGAGTTTGTTTTCCCTGTATCGTCTCTGGCATAGTGAGGTGTGTGTGTTTGTGGTGGTGACATGTGTAAATATATACTGGGGCGAGCCCACCAAACCTGTATTTAGCTACTGACCGATGGGTGATCTCAACTCCCACGTTGGTTCATCATTGCCCTAAAGACTCATAACATTTAAAACGACGTATTAAAAGCGTTGGCTTCCCAGATGGTGCAGTGGTCAAGAATCCATCTGCAAATGCAGGAGACACAAGAGGTGTGGGTTCGATGCTTGCACTGGGAGGATCCCCTGGAGGAGGAAACGGCAGCCCACCCCAGTATTCTTGCTGAAGATCCCACGGGCAGAGGAGCCTGCTGGGCTCCAGTCTGTGGGGTCACAAAGACTCGGACGTGACTGAGCATGTGTGGGCACGCACATTAGTTGTGATGAGGGTCCCAGGTGTACCTGGCTCAAAGCTGTTGACAGACACTGCATTTCTGATGCTTAGACAGTCCCTGACAATTAGTGGTGCTGAATGGCTTTTTATTTTATAAACTGTGCAGTAACCTTCTATTTTAAAACCAGAGAAGCCAGAGAAGGGATGATTCAAAGAATATACAATCCTTACCCTAAAATGATGGTCTGAGAGGACAGTGTGCCTTCCTCTGAACACCCGTGTCATCTGGCTTCCGTGGTTTCACTACTGAAGTGACATTGATCTGCTTACTGTATGTCGGAAAACATTTGATCGGGCGGAGAGGGAGGTGGGGGTGGGGATCGGGATGGGGAACAATGTAAATCCATGGCTGATTCATGTCAGTGTATGACAGAAACCACTAGAATATTGTAAAGTAATTAGCCTCCAACTAATAAAAATAAATGGGGGAAAAAAAAAAGAAAACATTTGATGTTTCAGCCATATTAGAAAAGCTGTTCCCAAACTGCACTGAAGCTGTCCTTACGTNATGTAAATCCATGGCTGATTCATGTCAATGTATGACAGAAACCACTAGAATATTGTAAAGTAATTAGCCTCCAACTAATAAAAATAAATGGGGGAAAAAAAAAAGAAAACATTTGATGTTTCAGTCATATTAGAAAAGCTGTTCCCAAACTGCACTGAAGCTGTTCTTACATCATATTTCATCATTTCTAACTTGCAGCCCCATCTCAGACCTGTGACCGTGTGTCTCACAGTTGGTCGTGAATCATAGTTTCATTATGAAATGTGATGGAACGGCTGCCTAACTGTGTTTTAGGTTCAGGGGGCTGCATTGTGTGTGAGGGTGCGCCAGCAGTGTGACCTGTCTGTGTATTGAGTGGTGTTCATACCCACGGACAGTGCTCAACTCACGTCTGTAAGGATCTCTACGCAGGTGAGATGTGTCAGGGTTTTAACTTGGTGGTCTCGGGAAACCTCAGGTGCCGTCGGAGGGTCTCCGTGGTTCTTGTTCAGAGAGGTGAACGAGTTAGAGGACACTGCTTGTGCAGTCACTAGAAAGAAGTGTCAAAACCAGTCACATTATGTCGTTTAGTCGCTCAGTCATGTCCGACTCTTTGTGATTGTAGCCCACCAGGCTTCTCCTCCGTCGCAGTACTGGAATGGGTTGCCATTCCCTTCTGCAGGGGATCTTCCCAACCCAGGGATCGAACCTGGGTCTCCTGCGTTGCAGGCAAGTTCTTTACTGTCTGAGCCGCCAGGGAAGCCTTGCTTGGTCCATGACATGTTTAAATCCTGCATTTGGTGTGACTTACGCATCCATGAGGTTTCAGTGAGAATGACCCTACAGCCCCGTGTCTAGACTGCACTTGGCCTTCTGACCCTGCTCCATATTCACGGCGTCATCTGTCAGAGTCATGTGACAGCTGTGCCCATCAGCAGCGTGCTGTGGTGTCCTCATGGTTGCATCTCTGGACCGAGCTGCAAGCCACCACTGTGAGAATGGCTGGCAGATGATGATTGTATGTTCTGGTGTGTACTTGGCTTGTAAGCAGTAATGAACAATAGCAAGTTCTGGTTTTGAAAAGACACTTTCTCTTTCATTTGGTCTCATGGTTAATATCTTAATCATTCCCCCTTCATGGATCACAGCCTTATCACGGGGAGGGGGCTGGCATAACTCAGTGAAGCGTTGAGCTGTGCCCTGCAGGGCCTCCCAAGACACTCATGGGTCGCAGTGAAGAGTTCTAACGATCTTGCGTCTTTTATCTTAAAGAACAGTGTTAGTGAACCAAGCTTAGGTTCGTTCTGTGAGGCTGTATGGAAGGTTCTGGGAGATGCTCGGCTGCACCAATACGTTTCATGCGTGTGTGTGTGCAGATGAACATACACGTACCCGCATGGCTCACAGTCTTCGTGGAGAGGGAAGGACAGCACTAAAGTGGAAGGAGGTCTTAGAGAACCCGTCATCCTTTCTTGTTGAAAATACATGAAACAGAGGGAGTTCTAGAGATCTGGTTATGTGAAACTTTTCTCAAAGATCTTTGTCTTCCCTCAAACATCTCTTTTCTGACCAAGGCTCATTTCCGCTCTTCCTCTCTCATTTTCTCACTTTGGTTTTGCTCCCCTCTCATCCTGTTGGTTGTCTGTGATCTTGCCTTCAGATGACTTCCTGAAGGTGACTGGTATCACCCTGCCTATGTGTCCAGGCTCGACAGGGGACAGGCCGCCTCGAGGATGCCATTTTCCTGGGCAAGGGGGTGTGCATGTATGGAGGAAGCAGAGACCTTGTTACGCTCACAAGAGTAACTTAGCTTTATTTCTCCAGACCGTGTCACCACCTGCGCTCTGATTGTCTCTCACAGGCTCTTCCTTCCTCCCTCTGCCCATCTTAGCTCAGTAAAGTGAGAGGCCAGGGTTTGAGCCCCGTCCCGGACAACCTGCCAGCACGCAGTGCTGTTTGTCTCCGGGCCCCCCGCCCAGGACGGAAGGGCTCCTGGGCTCAGCCCCTGCCAGTGGCCCCGACCCCGGGGGATGCTGCTGTGAGAGGCTCTCAGAGGTGAGCCTCCTCCGCCTTAAATGCCGCGGACGGTTTATGCTCACAAATGTTCTCTAGAAACAGCCCTTCCTGGTAATCGGTTGAAATAGTATCGGCCAGTTGGTCCCCCCTTTCCTCCCATTTTTACAGGTGAGCAGCTTGAGGCTCAGAGAAGTGGAATGAGCTACATGGGGGCACGTGCTCAGCGAGAGAGCCTGGTCCGCACATGCCCTCTGCTGCCTGTCATCTTTACCTTGTGTTCTGTTGTCTTGTTTGCTGAGCTTGTGATCACATTGCAGAGGGTGAGCCCCCAGTTCTTGGCAAAGGCCACAGTGACTGTCTCCCTTGCTGGAGGGGCCAGGACCCTCTGATGGCCTGCGTGTGGAGGAAGTCCAGTCATGCATGTCATTCAGACTCTGCATGTTTTATTTTTTTCTTAAGGATGAAGAGGAGGAAATCAAACTGGAGATAAATATGCTGAAGAAATATTCTCATCATAGAAATATTGCAACGTATTACGGTGCTTTCATTAAAAAGAGCCCCCCAGGACACGATGACCAGCTTTGGGTAAGCAAGCGTCTCCTGTGTGTTTTATGGGGTTTCCTTTTTGGTTGTACTAGAAGGGCATTAAGAACCTTCTAGAGGAAGGCGAGAGAAAAGCAAAGAAAAGGGGGAAAGTCTGGTATCTTCCCTGGACTTCTCAGTGGAAGGTATGCTGAATGTTTATTTTGGTGTTGATTTCACATTGCAGGGAAAAGAGTTTGTGTTTGGGAATAAGGTGGCACAGTAAGAAACAAGGAAAACAAGCAAAATAGCAAGGAAATTAGGAGCTTGAACTTAAAAGCAATATGATAAAAACTTTATGGAAATTACACATATATATGGAATTTAGAAAGATGGTAACGATAACCCTATATGCAAAACAGAAAAAGAGACTCAGATGTATAGAACAGACTTGTGGACTCTGGGAGAGAAGGCGAGGGTGGGATGTTTCAAGAGAACAGCATCGAAACATGTATATTATCTAGGGTGAAACAGATCACCAGCCCAGGTTGGATGCATGACAAGTGCTCGNCAAAGTTAGGAAAGTAAAAGGGAAAAAAATTACCTTTATTTCTATTGCCCATATCTAAACATAGTTAAAATTTTAGAACAGTTCATTTTCTAAGTACTTTACAAATATTCTTTGTTTATATTGTTCAAACATTTAAGTATTGTAGAGTGTCTTGTGAAAAGTTCTGTGCTGCTTCAAAATAGTCCTCCTCTTTTATACTAACCCCAGTTAACATAAAATAGTTGGGGAATCACAGTGTTGTGGAAAGTAGAACATTTGGGATGCTGGGAAGTGAGAAGGCTTGTTGGGGAGCATCTGGGTGAGCATCTGATGACTGGGCGCTGGTTAAGGACAGACGGCCCGCCTGCGCCTGTGATCTGGTGACAGGGGCTGCAGGGCTGGACTGTGCTATGGAGTGTGAGGACTCCAGTGTCCTGGACCCGTGTCCATGCCCAGGAGATGGGGTGGGGGAATACGCTCTCAGGAATTCGCTGCCTCCACTGTGATCATGCGCCCAGACCTTTAGGAAAAGGGCGGGAGTTAGACTGCCCCCCTGGCCTGCCCGGGGAGGGTGCTGCCATCTGTGATGCTCTGACCTCCAGCGGGATGTGTCCGTGTCTTGTCTCTCTCCAGCTCGTTATGGAGTTCTGTGGGGCCGGATCCATCACAGACCTCGTGAAGAACACCAAGGGCAACACGCTGAAGGAAGACTGGATAGCCTACATCTCCAGGGAGATCCTGCGGGTGAGCCGCCCTGCGCTCGGCTTTGTTTGCATCTGCTGCTCGTGGTGGTCGTTCAGTCACTCAGTCATGTCCGACTCTTGGCGACCCCGTGGACCACAGCACGCCAGGCTTCCCTGTCCTTTGCCAGCTCCCAGAGCTTGCTCAAGCTCGAGTCCATTGAGTTGGCGATGCCATCCAACCATCTCACCCTCTGTCACTCCCGCTCCTCCTGCTGCCCTCAGTCTTTCCCATCATCAGTTGCCACTGTACAGATGATTCTTTTCACGACAACCAAGGATTCTGTATAGCCAGTTGGCTTCGACAGTTGAAGCCACATCATGATGTTGACTCTGGCCTGTATCTAAAGAAATTAGACTTAAAATAGTTGTGTGTGTGTGTTTTTTTTATATGTAATGTATTTTCCTGAATTCATCCTGCAGTTATTCAAAAGAAAATCAGCGTGCAGAGGAGGAGAAATAATCTCTTAACTCTTGTTGTTTATGGAAATCCTGTGTCTGAGCTTGTAAATCAATATTAATAGTGCCAAATGCTGGCTTTCAGAGTCATCTTCTGGGCTTTGGCATTAACAGAATCTGCTGCAGTATTTACGAGGGAAAGTTCTTGTGTTTAATGTTATTTACAGCCAGTTGGAAAGCTGGTTTATGGTCTTTGAGCAAGTTTCGGAGCTACCAAATGATTTTAGCAGCTTCTGAATGATTCTTTTCAGTAGTGGAGCCGTTGTGACAGCGCAGTGTTTGAAACTAATGTATTTCAAAACTGCTTGTGAGTTGCCCATGGGCGACTTCTCTTTGGTCAGCTGTCACAGTTTTCTCTCTACTTTACCTGTAAATCATACACTTAAACGACTTGGTTGAATTTCATTTACGGACCACATTTGAAAAGTAAAGACTATGGAATTGAATTGGAATCTAATTGTAAAAGAACCTGTTATTTTTTATGTGTAGGTAAATTTTATGTTTAAGCTTCACAGAGGACTGCAGGTTTTTAAAAATGCTGTCTGGAATTCATGGAGACAGTTTGAATTTCTTTTTATTTAGTTTACAGAGCCCTTGAAAATAGATAATTCTTCTTAAGACAACTAGTTGGATAGGGAGAGATGGGAGACCTGTCTTTGTATCATCACATTCACATTTCATTATAAAAGCATGGGGATTCTTTTGTGGTTATTATAGGAGCCTTAACATGTGAACCTAAGCCTCCCGCCTCCCACTGCTATGAGGGATTTCAGTGAGTGGGCACCTGCAATGTCCTGATAGCAAAGTTGTTGTTTATTCACTCAGTTCTGTCTGACTCTTTGTGACTCCGTGGACTGTAGCCCGACAGGCTCCTCTGTCCATGGGATTCTCCAGGAAAGTATACTGGAGCGGGTTACCATTTCCTTCTCCAGGGGAGCTTCCTAACCCAGGGATCAAATCCGCCTCTCCTGCTTTGGCAGGTGGATTCTTTACCACTGAGCCACCTGCGAAGCCCCATGATAACAATAAAACCCCACTAAAATGTTAAACAGGAAAAATCAAGTAAACGGTGCGTTCTCATCTACCCTTTCTCAATTGCGGCATCTTGGACTGGGTAGATCGCTTGTGCCATGGGAGGCAGCTGCACGTTGAGTTCTCTGGCAGAAGTCGGGACAAGCAGAGTTGTGAGAATGCTGCCTTTTTGTCTTTCTGACCATATTTGGATGCAAACTGCGTTTTTGTTCTCCCACCACCTCTCATCAGAGGCATGCTCTGGGCTTCATTCCAGATACGAGGTCATCAGAAAGTGCTGTGTGCCCACTAGGGCTTACTTCCTTGGGAGAAAAAGAAAGATGCTTGATTGGCACATGAAGCTCTGTGGATGGCAGGACCGTTGTACCCGTGGGGTAGAGGTGGGGTCAGTCAGTAGTTCACAGCTTGTGGCTCTTTGGTGGGAAAACGAGGCTGGGTTCGAGGGCCAGCCCTTGAAGCCCACTGTCACCCTTGCTTTTCCCCTGGAATGCATGCGGTTCACATCTCCCCCCAGGCTCACCCACTGCACAGTGGGCGTGCAGCGTGGGAAGAGAACCGTCCTGTGTACAAATAACACGCACTGCAGTAGAGACACTGCAGATGGTCATTGAACACATGCCTTCAGGGAAAAGCTGGAAAGTGGTAGCGCTGCTCTCACCCTGGCCCTGACCCCTGGGGACTGGGGGTGCTTCTGTCTGTATGATGTCACTGGTGATACCTTGCTGGACACTCACTGCAGATGAATTGTGTGCACACTTTATTTTTCAGTATTTGTTTGCTTGCTTGCTCTGGGTCTTAGGTGTGGCACACAGACTTAACTGCCCCCCAGCATGTGGGGATGTTAGCTCCCCAACCAGGGATAGAACCTGCACCCCCTGCATTGGAAGGCAGACTCTTAACCGCTGGACCACCAGGAAAATACCAGAGAATGGGTTTTGTTTTGTTTTGTTTTTTCTCTCTTTCTTTTAATCTTTTGGCTACACTAAGTGATATGTGGGATCTTGGTTCCCTGACAAGGGATCATTTCCGTGTCCCCTGCATTGGAAAGTGAATTCTTAACCACTGAACCATGCGATATTAAAAGGGGTGCATTCTGCACTGGTCACTGACAGCATCAGAGAACTAAATCTCTCTCTGTCTTGCCTGCAGGGCCTGGCCCATCTCCACATCCATCACGTGATCCACCGCGACATCAAGGGCCAGAATGTGCTGCTGACCGAGAACGCAGAGGTGAAGCTAGGTAAGTGTGATCTGATGCCTGCCAGGGTCGAGTCCTCTGTTGGCATCACCCCGTTACCCGTTCCGTCCTGTTGGAGAAGTGGAGCCAGGCTTACCTCTTAGCACGGCTCCAGGCCCGCTTTGTCCGTGCCCCAGACTCCCCCAGCAGCCCCTCTCGTGGTCCCTGTGGGAAACTCAGGGACGTGGTGGGTATAGGCCCCTGGGGAAACCCCCAGGCTGGTTGAGCATCTTGGCGCTGTGGTGACTTGGCCCTGGAGGGGGTGCTGCTTACCCGCGCTGCCGGAGGGTCGCACGTCCACACTGTGCTTGTGTGGGGTTTACTGTGAAGACACCACTCCTCCGCGTGCGTCCCGTTCTCGCCGGGTTTGCTCACTGTGGCCCACTGTCCTTCCTTCCTCTGGCCGCAGTGGACTTCGGGGTGAGCGCCCAGCTGGACAGAACTGTGGGGAGGAGGAACACGTTCATCGGCACCCCCTACTGGATGGCCCCCGAGGTCATCGCCTGTGACGAGAACCCGGACGCCACCTACGATTACAGGGTAAGGTGCCAGCAGCCTGCTCTCATGGGCTCGCCGGTCCTGGGCGTGCGGTCTGACCCCGCTTTCCCCTCCCTGCCCCAGCGAGGACCGCGTGGACTCCTGCTGTAGGGCACATCTGCTGCGACAGTATTTTGAGGCTTTTTGTGTGTGTGGTCCGTTCTGCATCAGCTCTCTTCTAAGTCAGGTGCTGCTTTCAAGGCGGGAGGGGCCCGTCGATCTCAGAAATGTTTTGTCCCCAGTCAATTTAGCGCTTCTGCTGTTTACTGTTCTTTTTAATTTGAAGAGTGTCAGGTATTTATTATTTCAGAAATATTGTCAGATTACATAGCAAGCACTTTGTGTGAAATTTTAGAGTCTTGCTAAAGAGCTGTGCACCTTTGCTTTGGTCACAAATGTGTTTAAACTCTTGAGAGTGACCTCTAGAGACGTGTATCAATAATGCACTTCTTGATCCTGATGAAAAGTCTTGTTTGATCATCAGACTCTGGCTGAGAGTTGGATCATAGGTACGGCGAGTGGTTCTAATTAGCGATCATTATTATCATTATTGCATAACTTTTCACAAAGCTGTGCAATACAAGGCAGATTGTATAGCTTTTCCATCACTGTCTTCTTGAGTTGACTAAACTTTATGAGTTGATCATTTATTTAATTGGAAGGTATTCTTCCAGATGTGTTTGTGCTTGTGATTTCTTGGCAAACTTCCTTTTGGTTCGTACCCCCAAAGAATGCATTTATACGATTTGTGTGAATGACCAGTGGTGGTGAGCTCCTGGCCTCACAGTGAGGATGGTGCGCTAACGTCTGCTTTGTCCTGCAGAGTGACCTCTGGTCCTGCGGCATCACTGCCATTGAGATGGCTGAGGGCGCTCCCCGTAAGTAGCCTGCCTTCCTTGTTAGCCCGGTTCTATGCAATGTAAACCTGGTCTCATGGCTCCAGAAACAGTGGCTTCAGGAATGGAGCTGTTCCTGGTGGAGCATTCGGGTGAAGGAATCATAAATACAGTGGAGTTTTAGCTGTGAAAGGAGTTCTTGGCACATGTCAGTCCTTCTGAAGGTCTCCCTGAGGTTCATGGGCCGCGTTACCTTTTAAGTTGTAATTAGATGTGTGACCTGAATTTATTCTAACATCAGATAATGACAGTCCACTCCAGTATTTTTGCCTGGAGAATCCCATGGACAGAGGAGCCTGGCGGACTCAGTCCATAGGGTTGCAAAAGTTGGACAGGACTGAGCATGCACACACACACACACAGAATAATAGGCAATAATTTTTCTTTTTATAGTTTGAACTTAGTATTCAATGAAACTGGTCCTAATACAGGAAATTTCCATTTTACTTATGTTTTAATTTTAAAAATAGAGGCACAACCTTTTATCCATGAAATAATTTTTTTTTTTTTTTTAGTATTACCTGTGAAATTTTGGTTCCACTTTGGATTAAGTCAGTGACAACTTCGTGAAATTGGTTTTTAATCAGGAACAGAGTAGAATTGCAGAGAGCAAAGGGAAAAAAAGAAACCTATTATTTTCTGTTGGTCCGCCTTGAATATAAAATATTTGGTACTTAGTTGCTGCTGACTAAATATTTGTTGAACGAATGATACAAGGCTGCCCCCACGTAGGCATTAGTTGCACTGCAGAAGTGGCCATCTGTCCTGCTCACCCTGTGCTCCATCGTGTCCCCCGAGGACCTGAGACTGGGCAGGACTGCCTGACGCTTTGTCTGGTTCCCTTTCGCCCGGGAACAGCATCCTCTCTTTTAGCCCTATCTCCCAACTGTCTTGTAAGGTGCTTGTGAAGGTGAATAAACACACGGAAATACCTGTATCCACATGCACCTCTCAAGCCTTCACTGGGCCAGTGATCAGAGGATAAATAGTCATCAAACAAAATTAAACAATCCCACTCATTCCCCGATTTCAGGAACACTCACTCTAACAGTAAGCAGTGAACACGCCTGCTAGTGCTCCTGAGTTCCAGGCATCCTGTGAAGAAGGCCTTTACAGCTGTGTCTCATTTAATCCTCACGACAGTCCTATGAAAATAAAGATATTTTCGTTGTCATCCGATAGATGCCTTAAGCTGTTAACTCCTTTCGGACTTTGAATCAGCATTTATCTTTGATTTATGAACGCTTTCCAGTGTGTTTGAAATGGTCCAGTCTTCTCGCTCTCGTCCTCCTCGTGTTTTGCTGTGCTTCCGTGGGGGGTTCAGGGTATGTTCTCAGCTGCATAACTAGATGTGCAGGCTGCTTGACATGAAGCATGTCACTCAGACAATGGGCAGATCGTGTGACGTCACGAGTGGGTCCCAGAAACGGAGACCGAGTGAGCTGAGTGCATAACTGACACGCCCTCTCCTCTCCCCAGCTCTCTGTGACATGCATCCCATGAGAGCCCTGTTTCTCATCCCCCGAAATCCTCCTCCCCGGCTGAAGTCCAAAAAATGGTAAGATACGTGTGCTTTGTTGTCATTCTCTTCCTTTTTTTAAAAAAAAGAAAAGTGTTCCTTTTTAGTTTGACTTCAGGACAGAATCCTGGCCATTCTGACTCCCAAAGAACGCAAGAGTCAGTGTCCTAAAACACTGTTACAAACCTAAAACAAAGTTACAAAGTGTATGGCTTTAGTTTTTAATGTTCTTTTTCCTCTTGATCCATTGTCCTTGAATGATAAAATAGCACCAAGTGACTCTATGAAACACCATCACAATATTTTAAAAAAAGGTTCTATTTTAATATTTAAATATACTTCTCAGTGTAGTGGACTCCCCTGGTGGCTGAGACAGTAAAGAATCTTCCTGCCATGCAGGAGACCCTGGTTTGATCCCTGAGTCAGGAAGATCCCCTGGAGAAGGGAATGGCAACCCACTCCAGTATTCTTGCCTGGAGAATCCCATGGACAGAGGAGCCTGTCAGGCTATAGTCCATAGGGTCGCAGAGTCAGACATGACCGAGCAACTAACCCACACTCAGTGTAATAGATTTCTGTACGGCTGTACATGAAGAAGCAAAGTTGTGTTGACTTGTACTTTCTAGTTGAAGGGATATTTTAATAAAACTCATGGAAGGGTTCACTGTCATCATGGCAGGACGTTGAAGTCTGAGGGGCCCTTGCTGCCCGAGCAGAACGTGTTGGAGGAGGGGTCCTCTCCCTGGGCTGCCCCTTCCTTCCCCCTCCTGATTAATTCTGATAAACAGCGTCGATCCCGGGGAGGGAGATGGTGCCAACCTCCAGGCACAGAAAAGTTCAGAAGTGCAGTGGGGCGGGCAGATGCTGCTTTGGTGGGGTTTTGAAGTCTCGGAGGAAGAACACTGCTTTGTTCTTTTGGCCTGAGAATTTTGCCCCCTCGCTCCCTCTGAGGGTTGTTCTGAACCTTCCCTATGGACACCTGTCTGTGCCCGGACCCCATGCATGCGGGCCTCCCTCCCGCCCTGCTGTTCTGTTTGCTGGGCTTGGCTGTCGGTCTTACCTGCTGTGTGGGTTTGTTTTCCTTCCTGAAGCTGTTCTCACCCGTTTTCCAGGTGGTGGTGTCTCCTCTTAGGTTCTTGCTTCTAATTCTGAAATACACCAGAGGTCCCCGTTTTGGCCTCCTCCTACCAGCCGTTGGGGTGTAGGGTGCTTCAGACGGTAAAGAAGCTGTCTGCCATGCAGGAGACCTGAGTTCAGTCCCCGGGTCAGGAAGATCCCCTGGAGAAGAAAATGGCAACCCATTCCAGTATTCTTGTCTGGAGAATTCCCTGGACGGAGAAGCCTGGCGGGCTGTAGTCCATGGCGTCCCAAGGAGTCGTATATGACTGAGCGACCAACACTTTTACTTTACCAGCTGTTAGGTCTGCTCTTTTCGGGGGCGCATCCTCTGATGTCCTAGAGCAGCGGTCCCCAACCTTTTGGGCATCAGGGACCGGCTTCATGGAAGACAGTTTTTCCACTGACTGGGGGTGGGGGGAAGGTTTTGGGGTGATTCAGGAGCATTACATTCAGGATTTGAGCTCCTCTAAGAATCTCACACTGTAGCTGATCTGCCAGGAGACGGAGCTCAGGTGATAGAGCAATGAGGAGTGGCGGCAAATACAGGGGAGGCTTCACTCCCTCGCCCGCTGCTCACCTCTTGCTGTGTGGGCTGGTTCCTAACAAGCCGTGGACTGGTACGGGTCTGGGGCTTGGGGTCCCCTGTTCCAGAGGCCGCTAGTCCACTGGTGTAGACACGCACATGTATTTCACCCTTGTTTCTCTCCTGTTCCCTTCTGTCTTCCCGTCTTCCCCCTTTCATCTGCTGGCGAGATTTCCTCTTCCTTCATCCGTTCTTTCACCACATTCAGCTCCAGGGAATGGAGGTGGTCTGGTTCCACTTACCAGTTCCTGGAGAGGTTCTTTAAGGCAATGATTGAGCCCCAGTTGGTCTCCTGTATTATTAGAACGTGACAACCGTGTGCGCCCACGGGGGCCAGCCCTGGGAAACCACATGTGAACAGTAGGTGTCACTGGGGAGTCAGCTGTGGGCTGGGCGACACTTCATCCGCCTCCTGCTGAACTGAGCAACGCTCATTTTCTCCTTGCTTATTCTCAGATTTTATTGAAGGGAGTTTATGCTCCATCTTCAGGGTGTTTTCGCAGTTTGTAAGTCAGTCGGTTATGCCGTCCGTGACTTGCAGGCGTGGATCAACTGCTGTGTTATAGAGCACGGTGAAATAAAGAGACACGTGTAGATAACAGTGGAGTCTCGCTGTGTTCTTTCACCAAACTGCCTCTAGCTAAGCTGGATCAGATGCATTCTCAGCAGTTCACATCACTGCCTCAGCTTACCCGGGTGTTCCGAAGGGTCGAGAGGCTCACAAGCGTGAAGGCTGTCTTCCTTTACGGATGCTGTCTTCCTGTCCACAGGTCGTGAGTTTCCACAACCACTTTGGCAGAAGTGGCCTTTGAAAAATGATCAGCAGATTCTCAGCAGAAGCTGACAGTTGTGTTTAAAGACTGTATCGTAGATGATCATTTCTCTGGTGTTAATCTGTACATGGCCCGTGAGAAGCCCTTTGGAATTCTTTATCTTAAGGTTTCATCCTCAAACTCTCCAGTGTGAAGGTCTGAGGAGTGACTCAGGCATTTGTATTTTTAATGAACTCCCCAAATGGTCCTCCTGGGCCCCGGGATTTGGGACTCCGTGTGCCATAGCATTCCTCTATCGCTGTGTAGAATCCTGTGCATTCCTCCTTAACCACAGAACAAGGCCTCAGCTTCTTCAGGTGGCTGAGGGCCCTTTCCTGCGCTGACCCTGACCTAGTTCTTTTAACTCTTTTTCCGCCTTTCATTGCAACGTCAGAAAGCAGTTCACCGTCCCCCTTGGACTCTGCCACCTCGTCACTGTGGGACGGTGGCTTTTCTTGGGAAGGTTAAACATCCTCCTTTTTCTTGATGTGGAACCCACTCCACTGCCTCAGTTCTGTTTTCTTCCTCACAATTTGATTATACATCTGCTATTGAATATACACACACTGTTTCCTATGTGTGTGTCTTACAGCATAAACAAATTTAAATTGTTGACACATATATATTTGTTGGATTGAACAAAAATAGTAAGTTCTGAGTACAAATAGAAGAGAGAAGAACTGATTCTCTCTTTTCCAGTTTTTTTTTTTTAATACTTAATTTTATATTGGAGTATGCTTGATTTACAATTATCATGTTAGTTTCAAGTGTGCAGCAAAGTGATTCAGTTACTCATGTACATGTACCTGTTCCTTTTCAAATTCTCTTCCCATTTGGGTTATTACAGAGTATTATGCAAAGTTTCCTTGTGCTATACAGTAGGTCCTTGACATTATCTGTTTTATTCGTTTATTTTTTAAACTTTTTATTTTATATTGGAGTGTAGCCAGTTAATAATGTTGTGATAGTTTCAGGTGGAAAGAAAGAACTCTTAAAGCATGAAGTAACTGGAAAGGACTGAACTCATTCTCTCAATCACATTTTTAAAGACTGAATAACTCATTCATTCAACAAAAATTTACTGCATACCTATTGTAGTTGACATGCTCCGAGCTGGGCCTTGCTGACAAACGGGAAAGCAGGAACCAGTCCTGACCTGTACGGTTATAAACCAGGAGGAGAGACAGATGTAAACGTGAAGTGTGCAGTGTGTTACATGCAGAGAGCCCGAAAGGAAGGGCTCCTGGCTTAGGGCGTGTGGTGCAGTGTTGCCAGGAAAGGTTTATGGACAGGAAGCTGTCTGAGCCGAGTCTCCAATAACAGGGTGGCTGAGAGTGTCTCTGCTGAGGCCACAGAGGGGTCACCAAGAGTCAGAAATGGAGAAATGAGCAAAAATGAAGTGTCTGGTGGGGTAGATGTTGGCAACAGGGTCACTGCCCCCCTCAGCACTGTTATTTCTGCCTTTGTCCATTAAGTGTAGGGCTTCCCTGGTGGCTCAGGGGTGAAGACTCCGCCTGCCAGTGCACGAGACACGGTTCGATGCCTGGGTTGGGAAGATCCCCTGGAGGAGGGAATGGCAGCCCGGTCCAGTATTCTTGCCTGGGAAATCCCATGGCCGGAGGAGCCTGGTGGGCTACAGTCCATGGGGCTGCAAGAACCAGACATGACTTAATGGCTAAACAGTGACATAAAGGGTAGAGAGCTGACACGTAACTCAGCCTAAAGCTGATGGAAATGTTACCCGAACAAGATCCAGATCCTCAAACTTACCCGGGTCCCTCTCTCGTCCCGTGTCTGTCCTTGTCTGTAAGGATCCACCATCTCTCCTCTGTCACCTTTATGTTCGTGAACGCCTTCCTTCACTCGCTTTCCTCCTCCCCCGGAATCCACGATCAACAGGCAGCATTAACTCCCACTGCCCCTGCAGCCCCCAAAGTGCAGTGTGACTCCTGAACTGTGTCCCCCAGGGTCCCTGCTTCGTTCCTGTTTTATCCCCGTGCATTTGCAGCGTTGCTCACAGTGAATCCTGAAGCCTCGCCTCATGTACCAGCTTGTAAGTTACTGGTATTTTGGAGCTTTGCTCTTCATGGTAGAAATCTGATGATCTTTTTTTAACTTTCTCTCTTAGGTCCAAGAAGTTTTTTAGTTTTATAGAAGGATGCCTGGTGAAGAATTACATGCAGCGGCCCTCCACCGAGCAGCTTCTGAAGCATCCTTTCATTAGGGATCAGCCGAACGAAAGGCAGGTTAGAATCCAGCTTAAGGATCATATAGACCGGACCAGGAAGAAGAGAGGAGAGAAAGGTATGAAGTCTGGCTTTATTCTCATCTTAAATATTCTTTTAGGGTTTTGCCAACCAGAGTAGGTTGTCCCTTTCCTACTCGAGTTTGGGCTCATCTGGCCGGTGCTTGAGTGTCTCGACCAGCTTGGTCTAGGGGCCAGCCTGGCTCTGGCAGTGGCGACCCCGGGCAGCGGGGCCCTGCAGCCGGTCAGTCCGTGATGCCGTCTTGTCCACCTCGGGTCACAGCTTGCTGGCTGTGCTTCTTACCGCGCTGGGGGTCTCATTCTCCGTGTGGGCCATGCTGAGCTCAGCAAGTGCAGTGTGACTCCTGAACTGTGTCCCCCAGGGTCCCTGCTTCGTTCCTGTTTTATCCCCGTGCATTTGCAGCGTTGCTCACAGTGAATCCTGAAGCCTCGCCTCATGTACCAGCTTGTAAGTTACTGGTATTTTGGAGCTTTGCTCTTCATGGTAGAAATCTGATGATCTTTTTTTAACTTTCTCTTTTAGGTCCAAGAAGTTTTTTAGTTTTATAGAAGGGTGCCTGGTGAAGAATTACATGCAGCGGCCCTCCACCGAGCAGCTTCTGAAGCATCCTTTCATTAGGGATCAGCCGAACGAAAGGCAGGTTAGAATCCAGCTTAAGGATCATATAGACCGGACCAGGAAGAAGAGAGGAGAGAAAGGTATGAAGTCTGGCTTTATTCTCATCTTAAATATTCTTTTAGGGTTTTGCCAACCAGAGTAGGTTGTCCCTTTCCTACTCGAGTTTGGGCTCATCTGGCCGGTGCTTGAGTGTCTCGACCAGCTTGGTCTAGGGGCCAGCCTGGCTCTGGCAGTGGCGACCCCGGGCAGCGGGGCCCTGCAGCCGGTCAGTCCGTGATGCCGTCTTGTCCACCTCGGGTCACAGCTTGCTGGCTGTGCTTCTTACCGCGCTGGGGGTCTCATTCTCCGTGTGGGCCATGCTGAGCTCAGCGTGTCGGCCACACGCATCACCATGGGCCTGTTACAGACTTCTCTCCTGCCCACGGGTTTCCGGTGCTTCATGCTGCCGTGGGGGCTGTGGCAGGCCTGTGCCCTTGTCTCCTTTTGCTGTTCTATTTCATCAGTTTTTCCCTGGCTCCTCCTTTATACTTATTAGCTTTTTTATTTTAGTTGAAGTATAGTCTATTTACAATGTTGCGTTCTTTTCTGATGTAAAGTGATTCAGTCATATGTATATATATTCTTTTCCATATACGTTTCCATTATGGTTTGCAGCAGGATATTGAATATAGTGCCCTGTGCTGTTTGGTAGGACCTTGTTGTTTATGTATAGTGGTGTGTATCTGGCGGCTTCCCAGGTGGTGCTAGTGGTAAAGAACCTGCCAGCCAGTGCAGGTAGACCTAAGAGATTCAGATTCGATCCCTGGGTTGGGAAGATCCCCTGGGGTTGGGGTGGGGGGGAGGCATGGCAACGCACTCCAGTATTCTTGCCTGGAGAATCCCATGGACAGAGGAGGCTCGTGGGCTACAGTCTATACGGTTGCAAATAGTCGGAGATGACTGAAGTGACTTAGCACACAGTGTGTTGTGGTATCTGCTAATCCCAAACTCTGAATTCATCCTGTCCCTCTCTTTCCCCCTTGGTAACCATCAGTTTTCCGTGTCTGTGATTCTATTTCTGTTTTGCACGTAAATCAGTTGATTTGTATCATTTTTTTAGATTTCACAAATACGTGATATATGGAATTTGTCTTTCCTCTGCCTGATTTACTTCACCTTTATAATTTTGGGGAACATGTGATTTTGGTTTTCTGCTTGAGTACCTACTTTTTCTCCATCCCGCAGACTTTTGTCTGCTGTTCTCTAAGATGATCCGTAAGTGCTAAAAATAACTGAATATATTCTCTTATTGCCTTAGTTTAGGCAGTTAAACCTCTCTCTGTTTTGACATCAGAGTGGACTTTGTGAATCTGCCGATGCTCATGGCTCATTTTTCTTTCGTGTCGTGGGCTCTGTAGCCCCTCTCCCAGCCCTGCGCCCCCTGAGCTGAGCGTCCCACAAGGGGTTGTCGCGAGCATAAGGGAGTCAGTTCCTCTGCTGGCCCGGGGCCTGAGCACCCGTCACAGTGGACTCCCCGCCAAGGTCTTCCTCCCCGCGAGTTGCCCACACGCGTCGCTGTTTTCTCCGGGAACAGGTGGTTGATGCTTCCCTTGCGAGCGGCGTCGCCACTGTGCACCGGCCCGCTCACCCTGTCTGTCCTTTCCAGATGAGACCGAATATGAGTACAGCGGGAGCGAGGAGGAGGAAGAGGAGGCGCCTGAGCAGGAGGGGGAGCCCAGGTGAGCACAGCGCGCCCGCCGGGGCCGGGCTGCGGGCCCGGGTGAGCNAAAACACTACAGTCTTCCCCAAAACATGCCTGTTGGCTGGTTGGTTTTCCCCTTCCCACCCGTGTGGTCACCAGCAATCACTGCCTTTATGAGGATGCATTTTGGGCTGATCCATTCTGTAGTCTGTTTTGGCCCTCTCTGGCTCCCCAAGACACAGCTAAGCAGAAGGTTGAAGATTTGGTAGCAGGAACCTCATAGTGACTCATTAATCAAGGAAGAGAGGATTTAAAAGCTTTAATAATGGTCTTGTCTGCCTGGTGTCCAATGTAGCCGACTAGCTGGTCACAAGGGGGGCCTGGACTGTGGTTGAGAGACCCTGTGTGCAGAGAATGGATGTTTGAAGAGAGCATATCAAGACAGGAGAGAATTTATTGGAAAAAAACTCCATCACATCTTTTTGTAATTACATAAAAGATTTGAATCCATTTGAGACAAATTTTGAGAGCAGTGTGAACTGATTGCATGAGCAGTATGGTTGTTTGGGGTCAGGGATGTGATGTAATGGAAGAGGCAATTGAGGATTTCTTTGCCATGTGATTCTGGGGGGTTTGAGAGTGGAGAAGTGACTCTCCCCCGGGAGACCAGCTGGGAGGGATGTGGTTCAATTTACCTGTGTGGTGGTGCATCCTTGGGACCCTTGGGCTCAGCTGCCGGGAATAGAGCGAGAGGGTTACGCGGCAGGGAACGGGACCAGACAGGAAGGCGAGGATCGGTACATGCTGACGGTGACTCCGCTGTGACTACCTGTCTTGCCCGAAATGTGCTGATGCTGTTCCTGATGGGAAGTCAGGTGGTCACAGAGGGTCTAGCAACAGGTGGAAGATGGTGGCTTCAGCTTTCTGCTGCACAGTTTGGGTGGATGTGAGAATCCTACCTAGAGACGTCCTGTCAAATAAGACACCCAGGACAGAGTTTTATGGTATTTATGACCATATGAAAGAAAGATGAAAGGTGATGCTATTGAACTGTGTGTGCTAAGTTGCTTCAGTCGTGTCTGACTCTTTGTGACCCCATGGACTGTAGCCTGCCAGCCTCCTCTGTCCGTACGATTTTCCAGACAAGAATACTGGAGTGGGTGGCCATTCCCTTCTCCAGAGCCTACCTAGAGATGTCCTGCCAAATTAAACACTCAGGACTGAGTTTTAAGGTATTGATGATGCAGATGAAAGAAGAGGTGATGCTATTTAACTGTAGGTTTTGGCTATCCCCATGGGTTTGTCTGCCGGGTCTCGGGGCGGGAGGAACCCAGCAGACGTAGATGTGGACGTGGACTGGCTCACGCCCCTGAAAGCCCCTCACCTGCTTCCTCCCACAGCTCCATCGTCAACGTGCCGGGGGAGTCGACGCTGCGCCGGGACTTCCTGCGGCTCCAGCAGGAGAACAAGGAGCGCTCCGAGGCCCTGAGGAGGCAGCAGCTCCTGCAGGAGCAGCAGCTCCGGGAGCAGGAGGAGTATAAACGGCAGCTGCTGGCGGAGAGGCAGAAGCGGATCGAGCAGCAGAAGGAGCAGAGGCGGCGGCTGGAAGAGGTAGAAGAGGACAGTGTTCGAGGCGGGTCCCACTGTCTAGTCCCAGGGGCATCCAGGTGCTCCGAGGGCCGTTCTCCGTGGTCCTCCCCCCGGCTTGGCCACGCCAGGCGCGCCGGTTCCCTCCGGCAGGACGGCACATGCCCAGAGGCCCCAGGAATGTTCTTCCCTTGTGGGATCTTTAGGGACCCTCCCCGCCACGTTACTCATCCTCTTCATGCAGGCCGTGGGTGGCGTCACCCTGGGTCTGCGGAGGCCGTGTCCACTGCGGTCTGAGTCGGCTGGCTCAGCCTTGACCTCGTTTCGCTTTCACTCTTGGCCTCAGGGTCCAAGGTGGTGTGTCATAAATATTTTCCTAGAACTTTTAGACCTTTCCACAGGGAAAACATTTTTTTTTCTACAAATGCCTTCACTTCACGTTCATTTAAGAGGGAAAGATAAAGAAAAGAATTACATCGGGCATAATACAAATGCTGTTTTGTAATCTGGCGGTTGTGGGGGATTAGTTCTTTGTAGGGGACACTTTTTGTACCATCAGCTCCTTTAACTCACTGAGACTGTCAACACTGGTAATGTGATTACTTGGGCTGCTTCCTTTTTAATTCTCAGAGACACTGTTCCCTATATTTCACTTGAGGCTCAAAAGACCCTTTTTCTTTTTTAATCTAATTTTAATTTGTTTTAATTTTTTGTTTTCTTTCCCTGACTGCCATTTACTGTATACTTCACAGCTTCAGATTTCTCACTTACAGTAGTTTATTTCCATTTACTTCATCCTATTGTTTCACCTTTATCCTTGATGCCAGGAAAAAGAACCCCAAAGAACAGTCAACCTATTGATACTGTACAGTGGAGTTTAATTTAAATAACAGCACATGGTGTTTTTTTTTTCCCCAAAGATTTTTTGTGTGTGTGTGGATCATTTTTAAAAAAATTTTTATTGAATTTGTTATGGTATTGCTTCTGTTACATGTTTTGGGTTTTTTTGGCCAAGAGGTACTTGGGATCTTTGTACCCCAACCAGGGATCGAACTTACACCCTTGCATTGGAAGGTGAAGTCTTAACCACTGGGTTGGCAGGGAAGTCCCACCACACATGCTTTTTCCCAAGCTACTTAAGGGTACATTTTATGGAGAAAACCTCTGCTTTGTTCTGTGTGTTATCTGGTTGCTCAGTGGTGAAGAATCCACCTACCAGGGCAGGAGACGTAAGAGACGTGGATTTGGTCCCTGGGTCGGGAAGATCCCCTGGAGGAGGAAATGGCAATCCGCTCCAGTGTTCTTGCCTGAGAAATCCCATGGACAGAGGAGCCTGGCTGTTTACAGTCCACGGGGTTGCACACGAGTCGGACATGACTCAGCAACTGAGCCTGCATGCACACAACTTCTATTAGAGTCAGTAAGCCAGTGCAGTATCTGTGAATGAACCCCACTATTATCAGCACCGACCTAGTAAGAAAAGTTAAGACTTTTGAGATGAAAGTACTGCTTTTAAATGCCGATCTGGAAAAAGAACTTCAAGATAATTAAAGCATAGTTGGAAAAGTACACATTTACTTAGGCATGCTTGGAAAAATTTAAGTAAGAAGGAAATCTCTTTATAATTTGAGAGCTTTGGAAATGACTTTACATCACCATGTAGGTTTTCAGTTTGTTAGATTTTGTTTTTAAAGAAAGAATGATTTAAGAAAATAAGAATGACATCAGTTTGAAAATACTTCAAAGGATTTTTATTATGTTTATCATTCTTAATGGGGTAACCTGAGCGGGCATGTTTCTTAGACTCTTGGGTTTTGTTGCTTGAAATCGCAGGCAGAACGTTAATCCAGAGTGGATTGATGTTGCTGAGTTGGTGGCTGATGGTGTGTATGTTTACTTTTGGCCATTTTCTTTTAAAGTTCTATTGTAAAAGGCCAGCTTTTCATCTTAGTGATCTCTTAAGGTATTTATTTACTACAGGTCTTCTTTAACCCCCCAGCACACCCCAATTAAGGGCCTGTTCTGACTGTAGTGGTTTGTATGGTTGGAGTTTAAATTTGGCTCTTGATCCAGTTTGCAGCTTCAAGTACTAGCACATAATGTGGAAGAGGAATTGGTAACTGCATTGTTCTTTGCCTCGGCCGTCAGCCTCCCAGCCAGGGCTTGTTTAGTGAATTAGTCAGGGAAATGTACTGCGTGCCATATTATCCTGTGGATTTTTAAGAAGTGTGTGGCTTATATTACCTATAAGACTTGGACGAGAGGGGGTGTGTCTGATTCATTTTGTGTTCCCACGATGCTTCATGAGTATTTCTCAAGAGGAGGAATCGGCATTTGTAGCTTGGGTATAAGTGTCCTGGGAACTCGCACCCATTCTTCAATGAACTTTTGGGCTTGAGATCTCTTGAGTTCCAGAGCCACCTTTGTTGTTTAGACGCTCAGTTGTGTCCAACTCTTTGCAACCCCATGGACTGTAGCCCACCAGGTTCCTCTGTCTGTGGAATTCTCCAGGCAAGAAGACTGGAGCCACTTGCCGTTTCCTTCTGCCGGGGATCTTCCCAACCCAGGGATCCAACCTGCGTCTCCTGCATTGGCAGGTGGATTCTTTATTGTTGAGCCACCAGGGAAGCCCTGTAGCCGCCTCAGAGGACCTGGCAGAACATCCTTAGCCACAGAGGACGTGTTACTTTCTCTCTGAAACGTTCCTTTGTCTTCTCTGGAGACAGAAATTTGTACCCTGAGGCTGGTGTGAGGTGGGCCCTTGACTCAGCGGCCGTGCGGTGGGCAGGGTGTGTAAGCACCCAGCGCTGCTTCTGCTGCAGCCTGTCTGACTGACCTGGAGGGGAATTGTTACATATCCACAGCCTTCCTCTGTTGTGGTTCTTGAGCTACACTAGAGACTTCCTTGCTGTTGAGTCACTAAGTTGTATCTGACTCTTGGGGACCCCATAGACTGCAGCACTGCCAGTACTGGAGACTGTTTCAATATAAATTAACTTTAGTGAAATAAAAGGAAAAGCTCAGTTCCCCCCAGTTTAGGTGCTGGGTAGCAGCCTGGGGCCGGTGGCCGCTGTGCTGACATAGGGTACCTCCCCATCCCGGGGGTGCTGCCGGCCAGCATTCTGCACGTTTGTGGGAGGACTTGATTTGTACTCCACGCGGTGGCCCTGCTTCATTCACTGACAGAGGCGCGTCTGGGCCGGATGAGAAGTGGCCAGACGTGCGCCCAGGTCACACTGGTACTCAGAGGAAAGGCTGTGAGAGCAAGTCTGCCGCCTAGTAGCACCTGTTAATAGGATGCAGGGTGCTGTCTGGTTAACGGTGGGAGTCAAGAGTGGTCTTGACCGGGAGCCCACCACCCTGTCAGCACTGGACAGGTGACTCACGTTTCGTCCTCAGTGGGGTAGGAGTGAGGGGCTTCCTGGGTTTGTCATGAGGCTGCAGTAGGTAAGGGGACGTCGAAGGAAGGTTGTCAGATCCTTAGCACCATGCAGACACAGAGTGAGCTTGAGCTACCATGGTGGTTATCTTCACGAATAATAATGATGACATCTCTTAATTTTCTTGGTGTCGCTTCCTCCTTCCCTGAGGTATGCTTCTTTTTTCCCTCTTTTAAGTATTTCTCTCCTTTTTTCTTCCCCCCTATTTCTGTTCTCCTCTATTCATTTCTCTACTTTTCCTTCTGACTTAAGAGCCTTGAGTAACCCTGTCAGTGATACTCAGAGGTACTGAATTCGTCATTCCCTCGTTGCTGTGGTTCAGTGAAGAACAAGGAATAACTGATATCAAAGTGAAACCCAGCTCTGACCTGTACTTTTGAGGATGCTGGTGTGTGTGGGCAGAGGACAGCATGGAAGTAGTCGGCTGGTGGAGGTGGGGTCCCCCAGCCCCGCTCTCGCATCTCCCTGTAGGCAGACAGCACACCGTCCTGGGCACTGTGGCCGGGCAGTCTGCTGACTGTGCACCATCTTGACTTTCACAGCAACAAAGGAGAGAGCGGGAAGCCAGAAGGCAGCAGGAACGTGAACAGCGGAGGCGGGAACAGGAGGAGAAGAGGCGGCTGGAGGAGCTGGAGAGACGGCGGAAGGAAGAGGAGGAGCGGAGGCGGGCGGAGGAGGAGAAGAGGAGAGTGGAGAGGGAGCAGGTCAGTCCTCGGGGGTGTTCTGACTTTGGGACTCTGTCACTTGGCGGAGTTGGGGGATTGCAGGCAGAAAGCACCCATAACATACGCGTCTGCACATGCGCACATGCACACACACAGAAGTTTAGGACTTTAGAGGTTGGAGAATGCAGAAACAGTTGGAAGCATTCACTCTAGTAAATTGAATCTCTTGTCTTTACCAAGAGATACATAAATCACTACACTTCAGACACATACACGTAGTGAGACACATCTCATTATGATGCCTGAAAGATTTCTAAATGTGTCCTCTCGGGTTTGGCTTAAATGCTTTGAACCTCAAATATCTGGATAATAAAAAGGGAAATTTAAAACCAACCATGAGACATTTCCTATGAGAAATGTTTGAAGCATCCAATGACATTATTTTAAGATATATTTGCAGATATTAATAATTCAGTGTGTACATAACGTAACATTAGAATAACTGATAACATTAGCCAAACAAATGCCATCATATTTTAGTGATATTTATAGCATGTTAATGTCAGATTATGTTGTCTTCAGGAATCTGATTCCTGAACCAGCTCTGCAAACAGAAATTGTGCATTTTTTCATCTGTGTCATCTGTGTGAATCCCATCATGCCCCCCTGGCTTGCGTGCCTTTGAGTTGATCAGTCTTTGTTATGAGCTTTGAATAAAGGAAAACATATAAATGGGGACCAATTTAAATGATACCTGAAATTCATGCTTAAAATGCTTATAAACAATGGTATTAGCATCCAAATCTGATTATTCCACTACTATCCTGAGACTCATCCTTTGTCTTGGGTTTTCCTAGTGTTGGATCTACATAACATTTTTTTGTTGTTGTTGGAGTTTAAGTTATTCTATCTCTTTACTGATTTTGTTGGCCAGTTAACTGTGGTGTGTTTAGGTTTCATTTGCTGACTTATACTTGGGGACTACAAAAAGGAGTAAATATACGCTTGAAAAAATTAAGTCATCGAGGAATAATTGTTGAAACTTGATGGGAGAAGAGGTGTGACTCTAATACTAACCTTCAGTGTTCTAGTAGAGTCATTGACTTTCATGTATAGCAGGTGTTCCTCATCTCCTCTTTTATAAAAATAGCATCAAAGGTCAGTTTTATTCCAAAATATTCCCCGTGTCAGCCGTGCTGTAGGAACACATCACTTCTGTGTGAACGTGGGTGTCTGTATACATGTATCCTTGTCCAACTGTCCCTGTGATATGAAGGCAGAAAACCAGCGACATCCTGACCTGAAGCTGCAGCTGTGATTCACTTGTTTGGTTTGGAGAAGTGGGGAGCCGGGAGTCGGGATCCTGTCAGTCATTAGGGGGCGGGGGGTGTGGTTGGGCACACTCCCCAGAGCAGGTCTTGGCCATCCTGGGGGCGTGGTGCAGGGGAGCGTCTGTGTCCCGGACTGGAGCCTGGATTAGAGTCCAGGGCCCTTTGCCAGTGGCCTGTGGATACACTTTACCTAGATTGAATTTTGGGGGACTAAATTTGCTTTGTAAAGAAAAACTTTCTGAGGGAAATTTATGCCATGGTTTCTGCTCTCTAGCATTCTCTCCACCTGTTCAGCCCAGCTGTATGGCTGCTTTTAGGGCATACACTCAGCGGTAGACACTGCAAAGAAATTATCTGAATAATCTGAATTTCAAAATAAAATCTCCTCCCCGACGCCTCAGTCTGCTCCTTTACTGGAGAAGTGAGCTTTTCCCCTGTTGAAAGGGAGCCTTTTATTTGTAAAATCTTGGTGCTCTTCGAAGTAATTTCATGTCTGTTTCATATATGAACCTCATAAAAAGTCCTGAGAGTTGGGAGAGAATATTCTTGATGCTCATTTCCCCAAAGAGAAGACTGAGAAAGTGGGTGGCCGAGGCCTTGTGGGAAACTCGTCTGATTGTTGACGGATCGAGGTCTCCTGATTTCCCATCCCATCAAGTACGCAGCCAGCTCCACAGTTGGGATTTTCCCTTTTACATCATGTATTTTGGATGTGTTTACCTGGTTATTTTTGTTTGTTTCGCTATAGAGGTTTATCATTCTCTTCCCATTGAAAAGTCGTCACAACCCCCCCCCATAGACAGACACAGACACACACACACACACATCTGCTTACCCCACAGACAGACAGACAGTCACACACACACACACACATCTGCTTACCCCACAGACAGACAGTCACACACACACACACACACACACACACACACACATCTGNGGCCTTGTGGGAAACTCGTCTGATTGTTGGCGGATCGAGGTCTCCTGATTTCCCATCCCATCAAGTACGCAGCCAGCTCCACAGTTGGGATTTTCCCTTTTACATCATGTATTTTGGATGTGTTTACCTGGTTATTTTTGTTTGTTTCGCTATAGAGGTTTATCATTCTCTTCCCATTGAAAAGTCATCACAACCCCCCCATAGACAGACACAGACACACACACACATCTGCTTACCCCACAGACAGACAGACAGTCACACACACACACACATATCTGCTTACCCCACAGACACACACACACGTCCACTTACCCCACAGACACACACATAGACACACACACACATCCGCTTACCCCACAGACACACACACAGCCACAGACACCCCCCCATCACTGTTCATCTGGGAGAAGCTTCCTGTGTCTGGTGTCCCACGCCAGGACTTTGGGAATGTACTCGTTGTCCTTGTGTGTTAAAGAAAAAAACAAAGCTTGGTTATTTAATATTAAACAGTTTTTGGTTTGGGGTTTTAAAAGTTGGCAATTCATGCTTGTTATAAATAGTAATTAATTATCAGACATACATTAACGTGAACACACTGGTCTCCTCATTAGACTCTTGGTTGCTCTGGGCTTACCTTCTGAAGAGGAGCAGCCTGCAGAGCTTCCGTTTGTGTGCAGCAGCCGCGTGCAAACAGAATAACTCACCCATGCCTTTGTGGTTGTCATTGGCGTGCATGTCATTATTTATTAGACTCTCCAGGTCTCAGAGGCCAATTCGAAGTTCCTGGGAGGGAGGATATCCTTGGCAGTGGGCTTTTTCAGCCATTTGTGGCGAAGTGAGTCACCCCCAGATGGTGGGGGCAGACAGCTGTGGGCACCACATGCAGGGAGTCTTGACGCTTCCCTCAGGGATCCGCTGATTGCGCATGCTCTCTGTACGACAGGAGTACATCCGACGGCAGCTGGAAGAGGAGCAGCGTCACCTGGAACTGCTTCAGCAGCAGCTGCTCCAGGAGCAGGCCATGCTACTGGTAACGCCCCGCACGGCCCCGCCCCGTGGCTAGGGCACCCCGAACTGGGCAGGGCCCTGCCGACCCCCAGGGCCCCCGTGGCCAGAGCCACAGGGCTGGCCGCCTCTCACGGACACGTCCTCTGGGCTCCCGCTGCTGTTGGGCGCACCAGAGGCGGCGTTTCATCCCCTCTCTCCCGTTGCTGAGCTACCTGTTCTCATTCAGTAGATAGATAAGGTTTTGCGCAGCGCACGTGGCATTTGGTGAACAAGCTAGGATGCTGAGAGTGGACGGTGCAAGGCACATGCCTTAGGGACTTTTACCTAGACTCTTCCAAGTGTCTGTTGAAACCTGCATTTCCGGGGGAGGGGTTTCTCTCTACCTGTCCGGTGACCTTATGGTTAGTGGCCCGCGGTCAGATTTTCCCGCAGGTTTCCCACCATTCTGCATCCTGGCTGTTTTGCTCTGTCACGAAGCCAGCATCAGCGCACGCTGTCCTGGGGAGAAGAGCCGGGGCGAGGCAGGCCCCCGGGGCCCTGGACTGAGTGTGCCCTCTCCCCCCAAGGAGTGCCGCTGGCGCGAGCTGGAGGAACACCGGCAGGCGGAGCGGCTCCAGAGGCAGCTGCAGCAAGAACAAGCCTATCTCCTGTCTCTGCAGCACGACCCCCGGAGGCCGCCCCCGCCGCCAGACAGGAGCAAGGCCGGCCTGCACGAGCCCAAGGCCCAGCAGGAGCCCGCTGACCGGGCCCGCGAGGTACGGCGCCCCGCGCCCTCTGCCCCCCAGGGAGTGGAGGGTGGCCGGGGCCGGGAGGGGCCCCTCCTCTGCTTGGTGTCGTCTCGCGAGGACCCGAGCGCCTCTTTGACGGTTCCCAGTCACCTGAGCATGGGCCTAGACGGGAAGACGGGAGGTCGTGTGGCAGCCTCCTTCCGTCCCTGTCATGGGGGGAGGGTGGCCTGCTCAGCTGTTTTCCCAGAGCTGCCGTTTGGATGAAGTGTCCCTGGGCCCGACTCACTGGATTTTTGGTGATAAGGGTTTATTTTCTGAATTGGGGCACATGGGCTCACCTGTTCTCATTCAGTAGATAGATAAGGTTTTGCGCAGCGCACGTGGCATTTGGTGAACAAGCTAGGATGCTGAGAGTGGACGGTGCAAGGCACATGCCTTAGGGACTTTTACCTAGACTCTTCCAAGTGTCTGTTGAAACCTGCATTTCCGGGGGAGGGGTTTCTCTCTACCTGTCCGGTGACCTTATGGTTAGTGGCCCGCGGTCAGATTTTCCCGCAGGTTTCCCACCATTCTGCATCCTGGCTGTTTTGCTCTGTCACGAAGCCAGCATCAGCGCACGCTGTCCTGGGGAGAAGAGCCGGGGCGAGGCAGGCCCCCGGGGCCCTGGACTGAGTGTGCCCTCTCCCCCCAAGGAGTGCCGCTGGCGCGAGCTGGAGGAACACCGGCAGGCGGAGCGGCTCCAGAGGCAGCTGCAGCAAGAACAAGCCTATCTCCTGTCTCTGCAGCACGACCCCCGGAGGCCGCCCCCGCCGCCAGACAGGAGCAAGGCCGGCCTGCACGAGCCCAAGGCCCAGCAGGAGCCCGCTGACCGGGCCCGCGAGGTACGGCGCCCCGCGCCCTCTGCCCCCCAGGGAGTGGAGGGTGGCCGGGGCCGGGAGGGGCCCCTCCTCTGCTTGGTGTCGTCTCGCGAGGACGCGAGCGCCTCTTTGACGGTTCCCAGTCACCTGAGCATGGGCCTAGACGGGAAGACGGGAGGTCGTGTGGCAGCCTCCTTCTGTCCCTGTCATGGGGGGAGGGTGGCCTGCTCAGCTGTTTTCCCAGAGCTGCCGTTTGGATGAAGTGTCCCTGGGCCCGACTCACTGGATTTTTGGTGATAAGGGTTTATTTTCTGAATTGGGGCACATGGGCTCCCAGGGCCTCTGGCAGGGATGTTGGCAGAGCAAGATGGTTGCTAGGATTTGAGCAGGATGGACTGGGCGGCCTGTAGGGTATGGATGCTGGCCCGTCGGGGGCTTCCAACCAGGCCCTCAGGTGGTACCTTCTAGAAGCAAATGTCCTGCTTGCTTGGCAGTGCCTTGATTTTTGGTGGAATGAAATGTGCTAGATTCCTGGTGATACTCAGTGGGTTTAGTTGGTTGCAAGAGATTAATTTCTTTTCTTGGCTTATCTTCACATGCACTCCTAGCATCCAGCTGGTGGGGGGAGGTCTTAAAGTCTGGCTCTCTCAATTTTGATCTTCGTGACGATTTCTTGATCCTGCCTAAGATCGCTGTCTTGTGCTATCTGCTTCCGTCTCTTTTCTTGTGGTTGAAGAAAACAGAAGACTTCTCATTAGGGTCCTTCCACTTTCAGGCTGTCTCCAGTGTCTCTGCTTTTTTTTTCTTTCTCTCCTACTAACCCTGAGTTCTGTCTCCTGATTCTCTGATGCAGGTGGAAGATAGATTTAGGAAAACTAACCACAGCTCCCCCGAAGCCCAGTCTAAGCAGACGGGCCGAGTATTGGAACCTCCAGTGCCTTCCAGATCAGAGTCTTTTTCCAGTGGCGACTCCGAGTCTGTGCACCCTGCCCTGCAGAGACCCGCCGAGCCACAGGTAGAGTGGCCCGTGGGCTGTGTGGGTCAAGGAGACGCTCACAGAGGCTCGGCGAGCCACCAGCCTGCTCGGACAGCTCAGTTTGGTTTGTTCAGAAAGGGAAGCTGTTAGCAGAGTGAGTTTAGACTAAAGAGGACCTGGCCTCAGTGGGTAGGGAAAACCAGGGTTCTCTTCCACACGATTGTTGTTGTGCCTACTAAGAACATCTAGATTCGGTGATTTCTTCTTTCTAACCTTTCGTCTTCACTGACTCAGATGTTCCTAAAGCAGTGCCTCCTTACTGAATACAAAGACTTTTCCGTTCAGGATATAGAAAGTTACTGTTGTAAGTATGCAAAGGGAGACCTTATCTCAACCTGGGGAGTTCTGTGAATGGGAGGCCCTGAAATTCTTTTATTTTTTAAAATGTTTATATAAACATACATATTTTTGGAGTGGGAAAGGGGAAGACTTTTATCAGATTCTCAAAAGGTTCAACATCCAAAAAAGTTTACCACCCAAGTGGGTTGGGTGTGGGTTTCCCTGAGGTAGGTCAGGGTAGAGGTCACTGGGTGGGCCCTGGCATTCGGCCCCGCCCAGCTTTGGGTGGAGGGGACCTCCACGCCTTCTGCCCGGGTCGGAGCTCTCAGAGATCCTTAGGACGCGGGTCCCCACTCTCGCTGAAGGTAGCTGACCTTCAGGCGTCTCGCTTCCGGCAGCGTGCAGTCCAGGGTACTGGGCAGTGAGTCCGTGAGGCCGCGTTTACCTGTCCACTGCTGTTTGCCTGGGTTGGGGACAGTAGCAGTCGCGGTGGTGTTCAGACCAACCCAGATGAGGACTGGAGCAGCGTACTTTACACTAAATATCCTTGATTTGGAGCGGTTTTACAGTGAAAAGAAGACCTGGGGTGAAGCTCAGTTGGGTCACTGTTGGGAGGCTGGTGTTGATGAGACGAGCAGTGTCCTGATTCACAGGAAGACTGACCCAGAAGCCAGCGGGCAGCTCCAGAAAGTGAGGAATGGAAACAGAAAGGATGTAGAGGAAAGCAGGATGGATGACGGGGGAAAGGAGGATGGGGAGAATAGGTTTGCTGAAGGTTAAACGTCCCCTAAATGGAAGCTCTTTATGTGGCCACTACCAGTATAGAGAAAAGGAATTCCTGCATTATGTAGACTGCTTTTTATACTGATGACTAATTAACATAGTGCCTGGAAATAGGCTCTATTTTCCCTTTTCTGTCTAAAGTGGTTTTTAGCCAAAAACCTGCACTTACGAAAACATGATTTGGGAAAAACCTTTTTCCATGTAGGACTTCATTTTAAAACCTATTTTTTTACTACACTTGCAGATGATGCTTTTAGTTACATGCTTTCCCCCTGAAAATCAAATATTTTGGAAGTCTGGGATTATACTAATAACAGAACTTGCTTGACTCCCACCTAGAAATCATGAACTTGGAACTATTTCTGGATCTTACACCTGGCAGCATTGAATCAATCCCGATTGAATATTTCCAGTTCTCATCAAATATGATGATGTAATAGCAAGAATTATGCAAATTTTAATACTGGACCATTATTTTAAAAGAAAAAGTCTTAAGAAAATACAGATTGTTTCAGAAATGGCTTTTCCAGTTTAAAAGTGACCAGATGGTTTCAGTTGCCAAGGCACTGTCTTATATCTTCCAGTGTCAAGTAGACAGAATACACCTCAGTAGTCCATTTAGGGAATTCCACTGCTGATCATTTCTAAAGAAATTGAAGTCCTCTTTTTTTTTTTTTTTCTGACTAGTACAAAGACATGTAAAGTTCTCAGGGGATTGGAGTGTTTTAAGTTGTGGGATGCAAGAGAAGGAAAATGGTTGGTGTACTTGACAAGCTGGCTGTTTTTAAGTTAAACTCTACAATCTATCAGAACACGGGGGGCTGGTCTTTGTGACTGTTGTGACTTGCCCTGCCAGTCCATGGGAGGATGGGCAGCCAGGTGTGCACGTGTGGCAATGTCCATCCTGTGGTCTCCCCACTCTGCCTGTCCAGCTACTTTGACGCAGAAATGCATGCCGCACGTCCATCAGACAAGAATGCTTTTTTAATTTTTTGATCTTCACATTTACCGCTCTCTGTAACGTTTGTCTGGGTACTAAGCGTTTTCCTCATAAATGTACATTTGTGCTTTTCTGCATTCTGTGCTGCCCAGACCACCTTGCGCGCGACCCTCCCCCCGCAAAGCATAGCTGTTGTCCGCTTGGCTGACCCAGTCCCACCTGCCCTGTGTGGGTCCCCCACCACCCCGGCGCTCTCTCTGGATTTGATATTTACCAGAAAAGCGTTTTCTGCAGAACGCATTGAATGTGTTGTGTTTTGTTTTCTCGGAAGGTACAGTGGTCCCACCTGGCATCTCTCAAGAACAATGTTTCCCCTGTCTCGAGATCCCATTCCTTCAGTGACCCTTCTCCTCCCAAATTTGCACACCACCATCTTCGCTCTCAGGACCCCTGCCCACCTTCCCGCAGTGAGGTGCTCAGTCAGAGTTCTGACTCTAAGGCGGAGGTGCCCGACCCAGCCCAGAAGGCTTGGTCTAGATCAGACAGTGACGAGGTGCCTCCAAGGGTAAGGAGCAGAAAGACAGACGTGTGCTGCTTTTTCCTTTTCCTTATTTATCTATTTATTTTTTAATTACTGATTTCAGTGAAGGGTGTGGTGACGTCACCAGAATTAATGGGTGATGAAATGGCAGAACTTCTCGCATTGGGGAGAAAATTCTGTAGTGAGGCCGTCACAATCAGCCCTCAGCCAGTTAGTCTTCACTTGTGTCTCTAACTCTGTGCTGAAACATACGATACCAAAATAATTTAATAAGAGTACATCTACAAAGAGTATGCATCTAGAACAGACAGGATCAAAATAGATTTTACCAGCTGTCTTGTCAAGTTTATACAGAAGCTATAAATGACTCTGCACTGCTAAGTAATATCAAAATTTTCAGAAAAGATCTCATAAGGGAAAAAATGAACATAAATGTTTCCCAGAACAGACTTTTTTTTTTAAATTGAGGGATTTTTTTTTTTTTTTTCCTTTCAATTTTAACGTTTCTGAAATTTTGGGTTTGGTCATTAATGTTGAAATTCAACAAAAAGTCACGTTTTAATTTTTTTTTCCCTCCACTCGGAACTTGCTTCCTCTGAGTATTTTCTTGCTTCCAACATCCTTTGTTTCTTGCCCATCCATTTGTAAGCCATTGTTTGGTCTCTTTGAGCTTATTTCCCTGATTCTCACATTATCTCAGCAAAATGCTTTTGTATGTCCCCTGCCACCACGCTTCAGCGCCAACATCATTCACATGTGACGGAGCATAGGAAGGTGGGCCTGGTGCCTCTGACCACGCTTTCTCTTTCTGTTGTGTCACAGGAAGCAGGGAGCATCAGCGGGCGGGGGTAGGTGTGTGACAGAAGGGTGGCGAACTAGGATGACCTTAGAGGTGGTTGGTAGGGAAGTCTTTGTTCATCTCATGTTTTCAGTAGTTTAATCGCTGTACTTGGTACCCAAAGGTCCCTGTGAGAACAACATCACGGTCCCCTGTCCTATCCCGCCGGGATTCCCCACTGCAGGGCAGTGGGCAGCAGAATAACCAAGCTGGTCAGAGAAACTCCACCAGGTAAGTGACGAGCAAGCTTAGGACAGGTCTGCCAGACAGTGTCCTGCAGTCTTTTTTTTTTTCTAATTGGAGGAGGATTGTTTTACAATGTTGTGTGGTTTCTGCCGTACAGAAATGTGGACCAGCTTTAAGTATACAGATATCCCCTCGCTCTTGAGCCTTGCATAACGTTTTTTGTGCTCTTAAACATGGAAGTTCTGGGGCAAAGAGGTGATCCTTTTATAAAAAAAATGCCAAAAAATCCATTCACGGGAATAATGTCAAATTGATCCGTAGGGGAAAGAGATGAAATCTGACCATGTATTGTGGCAGTTTTAAGATGAAGAATCCCTGCCTCTGGGAGTTTTAAGTGGGAAGACCCCAGGGAAGAGGGTTTCCAAAGGCACTGTGACCTGAGAAGGTTTGTGATCCAGAGGATGTTGGGGGGTCCTGGGAGTGGCATAGAAATTACACACAGGTCACGAGAGAAAGACAGTGGTTGACTTTGAGTTGGTGGTAAACTTGTGGATTAACCACAAAATGTTTTCAGGTTCTAGAGCTGTTCTGTAGAGTAGCTGTTAGCCACGTGGGTGTTGGCAGTAGTTTAGTCGCTCAGTCGTGTCCAACTCTTTTTAACTCCATGGCCTGTAGCCCGCCAGGCTCCTCTGTCCATGGGATTTTCCCAGGCAAGAACACTGGAGAGGGTTGCCTTTGCCACATGAGGCTACTTAAATTTGAAGTTTACTAAGATTACATAAAATTAAAACTTAATTTCCTGAGCTGCACTGGTCACATTTGGAGGGCTGCATAACCTCATATAGTTGGTGGCAGCCGTGTTCTCCAGCTCAGCAACTCAAAAGAGGTCGTGTGAAGGGTTTGGTACCCTGATCATCACTGAGCCTCCAGACTTGGTTGTCATGGGATAACCCGAGACAGTGGAATGGATGACATGAAGCCCAGGAGCTTCATGGAGAAGTTTCTCAGCTGTCAGCGGTCAGGGTGGGCTGCAGGGTCCTCCTGTGCCCGAGTCCATGTGTTAGTTCTTAACCTAGAGAACCGGTGCCGTGGTGTGTCCGCAGCAGGGGTGTGCCATAGCCCACGTGCTATCACATCTCCAGCCCAGATCACGGGAAAAGGACCGTCAGTGCTTGACAGCAGCGGGTACTAGAAACAGCATGATTTTGTGGGTGATCACATGGGTGGAATTTTTCATAATAAGAAACTAAGTTTGTAGCTGAGACAAAAATAGTGACACTTCTAGACTGAACAGTAGCATTTCCTCTTCACACCCAAAGAGGATTCGGGGTCCACTCATGGTTGGATGAGCTTTCCTGGTGGCTAAGTGATGAAGAGTCAGCCTGCCAATGCAGGAGATAGGGGTTCGATCCCTGGGTCGCAAAGATCCCCTGGAGGAGATAATGGCAACCCACTCCAGTATTTTTGCCTGGGAAATCTCATGGACAGAGGAGCGTGGCAGGCTGCAATCCAGGGGGTCACAAAAAGAGTCAGACGTGAGTTAACAACTGGACAACGGTAGAATGAATGGCTTTCACGTTTTCGGTGTGTTCAGCTGAGGTAAAACCAGTGACTAACACTGCCGTCACTTGTGAATGTCATGTTACGTCCGTTTGTGGGCTGATGTTCTCATTACTGCTGTGATGACACGGTGCTCATGTTTATGGTCTGACACTGCGTCTCGGGACAGAGCTTGAGTGGTTCTCTCGTCTTCTTCTCCAACAGTAGCATCGAGCCGAGGCTGCTCTGGGAGAGAGTGGAGAAGCTGGCGCCCAGGCCAGGCAGTGGCAGCTCCTCGGGGTCCAGCAACTCAGGGTCCCAGCCCGGCTCCCACCCGGGGTCTCAGAGTGGCTCCGGGGAACGCTTCAGAGTGAGATGTAGGCTGCCTTTCCTTTCTTCTCCCTTGCCACGCTCACCACATGGGGTGACCCTTGAACACCCGGGGTTTAGGGACATCCCCCCACCCCCGCCCAGCCGCTGAAAATCCTCCTCCATAGTCAGCTCTCCGTCCCCGTGGTTCCTGAGCATCTAGTTACGCCCCACGGATCCAGCCATCTGGGGGTCCCGCAGTGCTGAATTATTGACTTGTTGAAAAACTCCACGCACAAGTGGACCTTCAGAATTCCACCCCATAATTTTTAAGAGTTGACTGTGTTTTGAAAATCCTTGTCAGTCACGGAAAAGACCTGGAGTTTTTCACAGCTGCATATTACTATACAGTGTTTCAGTGTAGGTTTGCTACTGACACAAACAGTCATCATAATTTTATCAGTGAAGAGTTAAGTTTTGAGAGTTTACACTTGTTGAATGAACACCTTCTCACTTAATCCTTATAGCAACCCCCAGGAGATGGATATATGTTGTGTCTCCATTGTATACGTTCAAATAACTGTACTTTAGTGAGTTTCCCTGACTCGTCCAAGCTGTTTAGCTAAACGTCTAAACTGAGCTTTGAACCCACTCTTCTCAGCATAAATTCCATCAGTGTTGTCATCGATATTGGTTATCCTCACCTACTCTTAATAATAGGTTAGCGGAAATTCCCTCTACTGTATCACTGATGTAATGTAACAAGTTGTGAACATATATTATTGCAGTGTGACAGTCAAGGGTTCTCAGGAAGGGTCAGAAACCCGGGGTTCAGACCTGTGTGTGGAGGGAGCCCTTGCCGTGAGCATGGCTGACAAGCAGGCAGGACCAACAGGAGGTGATCCTCGTGGGCTGGGCAGCCTCATGGGCCACACTCCGATGTTCACGTGTCTCTGTCTTTCTCATCTCTGAACCTCACAGCATCATCCAAATCTGAAGGCTCGCCATCTCAGCGCCTTGAAAATGCAGCAAAAAAGCCTGAAGATAAAAAGGAAGTGTTTAGACCTCTCAAGCCTGCTGTAAGAATCACACAAAATCCATTTTACTCATTTCAAACTTGAGCGAGAGCTTTCTCTTAGAGCCATGTCGTTGCGAAGCCTGCAGGCCTCCCTGCGGGGCCTTGCAGATTTGAGGGGTTATGAGGAAAGCTGTAAACCTCAGACACACTTGTGCTCTGCGGCCCTCTGCCCGCCCAGTCATTTAAAACGATGCAAAAGAAAAGCCTGTCTCTTTGCTTGGCATCAAGCTTTACATGTTCTTGGTGAGTGGGCATCTAAAACACTGGCTTTAAGAAGAGATGTTTTTCCCTCACCTTCTTCAGCTCCCCCGGGGTTTAAATCCTGCCCTTGGCCCGTGGGGCCGTTCCGGCTCTTTCGTCCTCGACGCGGCAGCTGCCCTGTCGCTGGGCACACTGGGGGTCTGAGCCTTCCGGGCTTTTGTCTTTCGCTTGCACTGATTTCTGTGCCCCTCCCCCTTCTCTCCTCTCTGCTCCCTGCCATGCATCCCTTCTCCCGACGGCTTCTCTGGCTCAATGGACCTCCGCCGGCTGCAGGGCGAAGTGGTAAGCCCCGTCTGACTAGCTCAGCCTGTGCTCCACCTGCATGCCTCTTCCTTCTTCAGTTTGCTCTTTTCTCAAACTAAAAAACCCTAACCTTCTGCTTCATTCTTAACACCCCAAATTCACCTTATGTGCTTATTATTTATTATTAAATACAGCTTAAAAAAAAAATCACTGTAACAAAAAACTGCAGCTGTACTCAAAGTTGCAAGCAGGAGGCCAGGCCAGTCCTTGCTTACTTGTCTCAGAGGCTCAGGTGCAAAGGAGGGAAGTGGGTTCTTAACTGGAAGAATTTTAAGTGGACAGGTACATATTTCAAGCTTCCATTATGAAGATGTAGAATAGAGATAACAATCAAGCTCGAAAGTTGTATTTGGATAATTGATAATTGACTGACTCTAAAAAAATCTTCATATAGAAGAGTAAAGGAAGCTGATGTACTTGTAAGTAACCCCAGGCAGCTTTCCCTCTTGCACGCACGGTCCTGTCGGTGGTGGGGAAGCCTGCCAGCCACACACGCCGGGCACTTTCTCACCTAACACGTCGGGAACTTTGTCCACGAATGTGGCAAGTGGGTGATAGTCTGTGAAGCCATACGTGAGGCATACACTGTACTCACTTCACCATCTTTCAGTTTTCTGCAAGTTGGACATTTTTCAAAATAAAAGTTGGGAGTTAAAAAAACCTCCCTAAATAAATAGTTTAAATCACTCCTCTTTAACTAGAATCTTGCTGCTTTTTGGAACATCTCCTTAAAAGAAGACTTTGCCATAGGGCCAAATATCTTGATAACAACCAAGATCTATCTTGCACACATTTGTTGATTTAGAATTTTCTGTCTAGCAGAGAGGAAGAAGCAATTGGTGTAGTTACGCCAGAATGCAGCATACATTTTTTTTTTTTGGAATGTTTTATTTTGGTTTTATATATATATATATGCATATATATATATATATGTAGAATTTGAAACAAAAAAATAGAATTTGATAGTTAGAAAAATATTCTCAGCTCATCATAAACAGATGATGGTTTTTTATGGCCGTCAGGTTTAAACTGGGTACAGCATCTTTGACTTCTAAAAAACTCTCCTGTTTCCTCCAGCTTTTTGACTTTTCTTGGTCCTTCCTATCAGAAGCGTGAAGAGCTCCACTTCACGGTGCCAGTGGACTCCGCTGGGCGGATGGTTGGGGCGAGGCGCTGGTCGCTGCCGGGCCTTTCCCGCCTCCCTGACACTCTCCCTGCCCTGCGCAGGACCTGACAGCGCTGGCCAAAGAGCTCCGGGCCGTGGAGGACGTGCGGCCGCCGCACAAGGTGACGGACTACTCCTCCTCCAGCGAGGAGTCGGGGACGACGGACGAGGAGGACGACGACGTGGAGCAGGAAGGGGCCGAGGAGCCCACGTCTGGCCCGGAGGACACCAGAGCCGCGTCAGTCCCGCTGAGCGTTAGGGAGGATGAGCGTCCCTGCGGGCTTCCCCGGTGGCCCAGTGGTAAACGGCCCGCCTGCCAGTGCAGGAGATGCGGCTTCGATCCCTGGGTCGGAAAGATCCCCGGAGAAGGAAATGGCAACCCACTCCAGTGTTCTTGCCTGGAGGATCCCATGGACAGAGGGGCCTGGCGGGCTGCCGTCTGTGGGGTTGCAGAGAGTCAGACACCGCTGAGCGTGCACGAGTGTGCCGCGCTGGGCCGCCTTTCCAGCTGGGACACAGTTTGTAAACCTGTCCTCTGGTCCTGTGAAATGGAACGTTTCGCTGGTGGCGTGAGCCTGTCCGCCCCTTCTTTGGGCTGGTGCATGTGCATGTCAGGCCTCTCTTCAGGACTCCTTGTCTCTCTCTTTGGTTTGAGCCTGTGACACACGGGAAATTTCAGCTCATTTTCCTTGGGGAAACTTTATACTTGTAGCCTTAGGTCCCTGAGAAGGTGAAAAACGTAAACTGTATCTTCGGCTTGTGGGTCACGGCCCTTCACACCTGGATTGTGTCTCAACAGATCATCTCTGAACTTGAGCAACGGTGAAACGGAGTCTGTGAAAACCATGGTTGTCCATGACGATGTGGAGAGTGAACCAGCCCTGACCCCGTCCAAAGAGGGCACGCTGATCGTCCGCCAGGTACCCGTGCTCCGCGCGGTTAGAGGCCGCGCTGCTCCTGTGGTCATTAACCCACGTGCTCATCCACTCACTCATGCTGTTTCTCCATTGTCATCTGTTCTCACGCTCGCCAGGCCCGGAGGGCAGCGGGGCTGGGCCATGGGAGGCAGGCGTGTGCCGCGCGCCCCTGGGGCAGCCGGCAGCGTCCCCCCCGTCCTGCCCTCCTTGCATGTTGTGTGGTAGCCCCCCTCCCAGCCCCACGCGAGCCCCGCAGCCTGTGTCTGAAGCAGGGCAGCCGGGAGGTGTGCATGGAGCTCTCGGCTCCAAGAGGTCGTGGGGCTGAGGCGGGAGCGGCCGAGGCAGGCAGGAGTCGCCTGGGAGCCAAGAGGCTCCTGGAGCCAAAGGGGTTAGGGGGGCGGTCTCTGCTCTGTGCTCGGGTGTTAGTCTCCTCCTTCATGGAATATTTAACGTGTGCCCCCCCAGGATGTATGTGCTCCTTTTGGGCTGCCAAGTTTTATAACCGCCTGTTCATTTCGTAGCTTAGAGGGAAGGAAAGTGATGCTCTTCTCGTTTCAGCAGAGCAGGGCCCCTGTCTAGAACTGCAGGTTCTCCCTGCGTGTGTTTCATGCTCTGGCACTACATTTGGATGGAAGGCGGGAAGTGGCCCAGGAAAGATGAGGGTTCAGAGAAGCGACAGTGCGCTTCCTAGGGCTTTAGAGAGATTTAAAAAGAGAGGAGACAAAGCCAGTAGTTTTGGTGATAGCAGCTCCCGTGGCAGATAAACCAGCGTGACTTGGGTTCTGCCGTGGCTTCCGCTGGCTCAGCCGAGGCACCTGGCAAGGAGGGGTGAGCAGACCCAGCTGATGCCCTCCAGTCTTGCCTGGATGACTCGGCAGAGCTTGCGGAGCCACCCAGCACCGCAGCAGGCAGGGTCAGTAGGGTCTTCGGCAATGTCAGCGGTGCTGAGCGAGACCAGTGTGCCTTTTTCTCTGCAGAGTGCAGTTGACCAAAAGCGCGCCAGCCATCATGAGAGCAATGGCTTTGCGGGTCGCATTCACCTCTTGCCAGATCTCTTACAGCAAAGCCATTCCTCCTCCACTTCCTCCACCTCCTCTTCCCCATCCTCCAGCCAGCCGACACCCACCATGTCCCCACAGACACCCCAGGACAAGCTCACTACTAATGAGGTATGTCTCACACCACAGCTGGCTGCTCTCCCAGGGTTAGACCAGCACCGCTTAGGAGCTAGTTTGCAGAGACCTTCCCACGCCCTGCCCTCACCTGCCCTCCCCGCCCACCTTCTTCTGTCACCTCCCCTTCTCTCCCACCCCCCCACCCCCAGTAACATGTTTCAGGTCTGTATACAGACCCCTTAACCCTAGAGCGATTGCCCTCCAGACTTGCCAGTTCACTGTTTACTTTTCCCTAGATAAGTAGTTGCATGGCTTTTCTGATTCAGTTCATTTTTCAAAAAAAAGTCTAAATAAAATGATTGTTGTGTTTTCAGATCCTTTATGTATTTGGCATGAAATTCTGGTAGTCTTTTGTGGAATCTGCCCTTTTCATTCTTTTTATCCAGTAAATAAAACACAGAAACACTTGGTTGAGCAGATTTGGCCTTATCAGGACAAACGTGTAGCTTTGTACAGGAAATTCCCTCAAAAAGGGCTGGATTTTTTTTCTTTGGAGAGGAATTATTAGTTGGTTACTCTTATTTATTTTTGCCAAGCTTGTTGAAAGGATTTCTCTCCTTGAAATTTATAATCACTCAGTTTAAGAAGCCAGATGCTTTTGGGGGGAAAGCTAGAAACTTAAGATGTTAAACAAGAAGGGCAGAGAACTGAGCGTGCTTTTAATTTCAGCTTTTTGAATGGGAAGTCCTGTGTGCTTGTTGGAAGGCATGGCTGTGGTGTCAGTCTGGGTGCTGGTTGGGTGATTCTCTCTCTTGGGGAGACAGTCATGGCCCCAAGTGCAGTGACAGATCACCATGGGCCCCCATCCTTAGTCACACAACTGACTGTCTTCATGGGAGGTTTGGCTTAAATGCCTTTGTTGAATATCGCAGTAGCATGTGGCTTCAGCCGATCTTGTCAATGTAAGCATTGAGCTGTCGGCCTGCCCACCTGCTCCTATTTTCGTCCTCTTATTAGAATAATCCTCCCCTTTGAGGAGCCAGGGGAAATCAGTGGCTTCTAAGGCAGGCTCAGCATCAGACTGATTGCCACTGGGTGGATGGGCCCCAGCTGTAGACCCGGGGGTGTGGGGAAGTGCTCGGGGCAAAGCCTGCCAGGAGACAGATGTGCCAGGTGGGAAGCGGGGAGCTGAGGAGGGGCCTGAGGGGGTTGGCTGCAAGACTTGTCATTTCAGCTGCCCAGGGAAGTGAAACGGTTACAGGACAAAAGCAGTGATCAGACATGTGTTTCCCTCCACTTATATATCCCACCTACAGTTACATTCCTTCTTATGTTTAAACTTGGCTCCATTTTGCTCTAATGTACAGTATGTACAATAACCCTTAACTCACTAAACTGGCAAGTTTATATTTCTGTTTGTTTTTAATTGTCATTACATTTCCACTTAACAATTTGTTTCACTTTCTTTGTGTTTTTCTTTTTTTTTTTTGTCTTAAGCTACATTATTAACCAAAACACTCCTATTCCTAAAAGAGCAAAAGAATATGCCTTTTCACCTTTCACTAATGAGCCCCGCTATTTTATACGGAGTTGATGATACACCTAAAACGATGGTGGCCGAAGCTTCTGTAGTTTCTGGCAAGAGGCTCACTTTAAAATAAGCGATATAAGACTTAAGATTTGCCGGTATTCCAACATACATTCATTGGACTTTTGGGGGGTAGGAGAACAAACTCAAAAACTGATGAATTGAGATCAAGACATTTCAAACTTCCTTTAGGAGTTTTCATTATGTTTGATTATTAAAAACCCGAGGAGCTCGTGAAGTATAGATGTTGCTGGTAGCTTGCACGTTCTGTCTTACCAGAACAATGTTTCTGGAAAGAGAGGTTGCCTTGTTTGGCTCCTGGTTAAATAGCCTGTATTGGGGGTTGCGGGGTTCACACACAGAGGTGTCTGCAGAGTGTTTGGCGGGGGAGGAAGCAGGGGGATCAGTCTTCTGTATTGGGAAGCAGAGCAGTGCAGCAGTGGGTTGAAATATTTTGTGTTTGTTCTTTTACTGTCATTGTATTAATACGACTGAAATTTACATTGCAGACTCAGTCCGCTAGTAACACACTCCAGAAACACAAATCCTCCTCCTCCTTTACACCTTTTATAGACCCCAGATTACTACAGATTTCTCCATCTAGCGGGACAACAGTGACTTCTGTGGGTAAGTAACACAGCGGCAAGCAAGCAGCCACCGGCAGGGTACTTCTCACTCTGTTTGGTGTGGTGGGCACGTGTAGTGGTGGTCGGCAGGCTCAGACCTCAGACCAGATGCACACCCCACTGGCACTGTCTTTTGCAATGAGCACCATAGTCAATCTCCATTTTTCACGTCCATTTCTTACAAGTTTCTCTTCCTCGGCAAAGAGTGGGTCGTCACATGAATCTTTCCTGGATGCACAGTGGGGAAGGGAACAGGACCAGCCCTCACGGAGACAGAAATAATTCCAGTGTCATATGTTTCAGTGGGGTTTTCCTGTGATGGAATGAGACCCGAGGCCATGAGGCAAGACCCTACGCGGAAGGGCTCAGTGGTCAATGTCAATCCCACCAACACTCGGCCCCAGAGCGACACTCCAGAGATTCGCAAATACAAGAAGAGGTTTAACTCCGAGATCCTGTGTGCTGCCTTGTGGGGTAGGTGTCTGGGCCACTCCAGCCCTTCTGTTCTTATTATCAAGGGTGGACCGGCCATTGGGAGAAGTACAGCTTTGGGATGTCTGGGGGGCTTGGGGAACGTTGTTCATGGGTGAGGTGGAAGACTCTTGACATCCCTTGTGCACACTGTCCCATGGAATCCTGCACGCACACAGACCTGCCCTTGTTTCAGCCGTCATGTACTGGACAGTGACTCATCCCCATCACTTTGTATAAAAAAGAAGGAAAAAGATGAGAAAGGCATTTGATTTGGCCCATATTTATAAGGAGAATGAAGAAATTTGTCAAATTGCTTTTCTTTAAATGCTTCAGTTTAACAGTCTTTACTGACTCTTTGTGACTTAAGGCGACATCTAAGTGAAGTTTTGGGGGGGTTTGCTTTGTTTTTGTTGTTGTTTTTGATATGGACCTTTCTTTAAAATTTATTCTTTAATTGGAGGAAAATTGCTTTATAATATTGTGTTGCTTTCTGCCATACAACAGCATGAATCAGTCATAATTATACATATGTCCCCTCTCTCTGGAACCTCCCTCACCTCCCCGCCCAATACCCCACTACTCCCACCCAATCCCGCCTCTCTAGGTCATCACAGAGCACCAGGTCTGAGCTCCCTGTGCTACCCAGCTTCTCACCAGCCATCTATTTTACACACACCTGGTGAAAGTGTTAGTCGCTCAGTCATGTCCCACTGTTTCTGACCCCATGGACTGTAGCCCCCCAGACCCCTTTGTCCATGGGATTTCCCAGGCAAGAACACTGGAGTGGGTTGCCATTTCCTTCTCTAGGGGATCTTCCAAACCCAGGGACCAAACCCATGTCTCCTGCGGCTCCCGAGTTGTAGACAGATTCTTCACCCCTGAGCCACCAGGGATAATTCCAGTGTCATATGTTTCAGTGGGGTTTTCCTGTGATGGAATGAGACCCGAGGCCATGAGGCAAGACCCTACGCGGAAGGGCTCAGTGGTCAATGTCAATCCCACCAACACTCGGCCCCAGAGCGACACTCCAGAGATTCGCAAATACAAGAAGAGGTTTAACTCCGAGATCCTGTGTGCTGCCTTGTGGGGTAGGTGTCTGGGCCACTCCAGCCCTTCTGTTCTTATTATCAAGGGTGGACCGGCCATTGGGAGAAGTACAGCTTTGGGATGTCTGGGGGGCTTGGGGAACGTTGTTCATGGGTGAGGTGGAAGACTCTTGACATCCCTTGTGCACACTGTCCCATGGAATCCTGCACGCACACAGACCTGCCCTTGTTTCAGCCGTCATGTACTGGACAGTGACTCATCCCCATCACTTTGTATAAAAAAGAAGGAAAAAGATGAGAAAGGCATTTGATTTGGCCCATATTTATAAGGAGAATGAAGAAATTTGTCAAATTGCTTTTCTTTAAATGCTTCAGTTTAACAGTCTTTACTGACTCTTTGTGACTTAAGGCGACATCTAAGTGAAGTTTTGGGGGGGTTTGCTTTGTTTTTGTTGTTGTTTTTGATATGGACCTTTCTTTAAAATTTATTCTTTAATTGGAGGAAAATTGCTTTATAATATTGTGTTGCTTTCTGCCATACAACAGCATGAATCAGTCATAATTATACATATGTCCCCTCTCTCTGGAACCTCCCTCACCTCCCCGCCCAATACCCCACTACTCCCACCCAATCCCGCCTCTCTAGGTCATCACAGAGCACCAGGTCTGAGCTCCCTGTGCTACCCAGCTTCTCACCAGCCATCTATTTTACACACACCTGGTGAAAGTGTTAGTCGCTCAGTCATGTCCCACTGTTTCTGACCCCATGGACTGTAGCCCCCCAGACCCCTTTGTCCATGGGATTTCCCAGGCAAGAACACTGGAGTGGGTTGCCATTTCCTTCTCTAGGGGATCTTCCAAACCCAGGGACCAAACCCATGTCTCCTGCGGCTCCCGAGTTGTAGACAGATTCTTCACCCCTGAGCCACCAGGGCAAGCCAGACCAGGTGTGGGGAAACGAGGCGGGAGACGAGACATGGCTGGAGAGAAGGAGCTGGGGTGTGCCTGATACGTACTGCTCCTAAGAAAAGAGGAACCGAGGACCAAATGCAGCTGTTTGTTTCTTAAAGATGATGGAGGGTGGTCTTTAAGAAACCTGAAGCTGAGTGATAGATGCCGGTTGATCACAAACTGTTAGGGACTTAAGGGGCTGTGTATGGCTCATTGTAGAAGATCTCCCATGCAAAGACAGATGTTGAAGGAAGCAGGCAGGGATCATGACATTGGACAAAGGTTTGTCTGTCTGGTTATCTAATAGGATAGATAAGATGGAGAGTCTGTGGTACCCAGGAGATGGTGGGCTTGGATGTCCTGGGGCTACTGAGGAAAACCCAGAAGCTGGAGGATCTGGAATGAGGCAAGCTCATTGCCCCCTTAGATCCTTTTTATATTAATGTGTAAATGAATATTCCATCCTCTCCCCTCCATGGTGATTTGTTGCAATTTGGGTACTTTAAGCTGTGACCATCCTTAGCTTTGGAGAAAAAAATGGCAACCCACTCCAGTATCATTGCCTGGAGAATTTCATGGACAGAGGAGCCTGGCGGGCTATTAGTCCATGGGGTCCCAAAGAGTCAGACATGAATGAGTGACTGAGTGCGCACATCCTAAGCATCTCTGTTTGTGAGTGACTTGAGGGTTTCCTCAAGTCTTATCCTGAGTTTCCACCACTCTTATCCTGAGAGGTGGTGCTATTTGCTCCATACAAGGCCATCTGCCATGCACAGTGTAAAATTGTGGTCTTTCTGTGTCCTTGACATAGGAGTGAACTTGTTGGTGGGTACCGAGAGTGGCCTGATGCTGCTGGACAGAAGTGGCCAAGGGAAGGTGTATCCTCTGATCAACAGAAGGCGATTTCAGCAGATGGACGTCCTGGAAGGCTTGAACGTCTTAGTGACGATATCTGGTAAGTGTGGGTTTGGGAGAGCAGGCCACCAGGACTGTTCAAAAGTGCGGTGCTTCCCCAGATGGAACTTGAGTGAGCTCGTTTTCCAAAGTGATAGCTCAGAGATAGAACCATAGCATGATTTTACAATAATGTGATAGGAAAGCATATTCAGACGGGACCCACTTGTGTGAACTTGCGACGGGGTGGGGCTCCTCTGAGCTGTCCTGGAGCAGAGCACCTGCACTTCCTACTCCCCCACCCCCGACACGCCCGCCCGCTCCCTCCATCCCCATCTCGCCACCACCCCCTGCAGCCTGTCCTGTTCAGGGTGTGGGTTTTTGTCCACTTCTTCCTACAGGACTCTGATGCAAAAAGAACTATTCTTTGCCATTGCTGGTAAAAGCATGGTTGTTTTTTTTTTCCTTGTCAGTTTCTTTTTAGGAGGAGCATTTTTCTTGGTACAAGTTATATATGTTGATTGTAGAAAGTAAAAACCAGTGCAGAAGAGCAAATAGGAGGAATAAATTGTAAAATCAGTTCATCCAAAGAAACTGTTAACTTCACTTTGTAACTTACAGTCTTGTAAGCATATACACACTCGGGTGAGAGAAGGTCTCTGTAAAAATAGTTATGCAGCATATTGAGGGAATAATCTGACACCTGTACACTGACGAGTTGGTTTTGCCAGATGTTAGAATACACTGCTGTCCATACAGTCGGGTCCACTCCCCCCTGGTAACTGCTGTCCTGAAGTTAAGATGTGTCCCTCCCGTTCTTGTTTGTCCGAACCTGTAGGTGGTTTTCCCGGATTCCTTCAGGAGAGCCGTTCTGTACTGCTACGGAGTGCTTCTCTGCGTGGATGCACTAACGTTTATTCACCTCTGTTGTAACTTTTCCATTTATTCCTTTCTTCCCCTCTCGTGTAAACATTTCCTAAGTATCTTTGTAACTCACTTAACCATTCAGCATGTGAATCCTTGTTGCCTGGATCATAACTTCCTAATTTGCATTTTTGCTGGGGTTAAAGAGTATGCAGAAGTGTAAGACCTGTCTCCTCATTACCCACAGTGATTTTGATTTAATTATCAGCTAACTCAAACTTGCTGTATTTATTTATACGTAACAAATTTCTTGCAATAATTTTTAGTTTTCAAATAGGTTTTTGGTTTTAAGTAAGATGTCTGTTGAAATGCAAAAATTTCACCATCCATCTCCTACTTAAATGAGGAAACAACTATTTAAGACTTGAGTGCTGATGGAAAATAGGTTTTCGAATTGGAGGAAAAATTAATCTGCAGCTGAAAATGGTTGAAACTTCATTTTGTGATCCAGTGAGCAAGGTGATTTTTGTGGATCAGTAATCAACTGATAACTGTTTTTTGGATCCACTTTTTTTGTATTTTTTTTATAGCTTTCATTGGTTTTCAAAATCATAAAAGCAATAACACGTCAATTGTGGGAAACTTCAAAAACAGGGAAAAAAAAGCTTAAGAAAAAGAAAATAAAATGTAACCCTATCTGAGAGAGATAGCTCTTATTAACTTTTTAATATATTCCCTCCTCATTTCTATAAATGTATCTCACCGTGTGGGAATAAAACACTGTACATAAAACAGTGTTGTCTTCGTTTCACTTAATGTATTGAGTATCTTCCCACATTCAGAAATTCTTCATAACTTAAGATTGTGTTGAAGTAGAAGACATAAGACAGAAAGTGCACAGATTATAAATAATTACAGGTCCACGCAGAGTCACAGTTAGCCATCATGTGGCCCCCAGCGTGGTGACCTCCTCCACCCGCCCACGGCTCTCCTGCATTGCCCCCATCACTGCCCACCCCCACCACACACACACACCCACCCAACCTGAGGAAGCTCTCCTGACTTTGAACACCTTAGAACATACTAGATATGGTTTGATGTCTGTTTTTTTTTGCCTTCATTGAACTGAACTCAATTAAATGGCAAAAATACTTCTTTTGTGTCTCACAGTTTTTTCTAGAGCAGTTTTATGTTTACAGAGAAAGTAGACAGTCTTATATTGGCCCCCTCTTCTCTGACATTTGTTACAGTGGATGGACCAGTATTAATGCGTTATTCTTAGCTGAAATCCACAGTTTCGGGTTCTCTCTGTGTGTGTCCTCTCGGTTGAATACATGCATAATTTTATCTACCTTTACAGTGTTGTACAGACGAGTCTCATCACCCTAAAAATCCTCTGTGCTCCATCCCTTCCTCAAAGCCCATGGCAGCACCTGACCTTTTTCTGCTCTCTGTTGCCTTTTCCAGAATGTCCTAAGTAGGCTCATGCAGTGTGTAGCCTTTTCAGACAGTTGAGGGCAAGTACCTTTTTATGAGTCAATGTGATGCTTCTTTTGTCTGTTCTGGGTGCTTGCTCAATATTTCTGCTAGGTTTGTTGTTGTTCAGTCGCTAAGTCATGTCCGACTCTCTGCAACCCTATGGACTGCAGCACACCAGGCTTTCCTGTCCTTCACTCTCTCCCGGAGTTTGCTCAAATTGAAATTTCTTAGCACGCATGTACACATGTCCATTGAGTCGGTGATGACATCCAACCATCTCATCCTCTGCTGCCCCCTTCTTTTGCTTTCAATCTTTCCCAGCATCAGGGTCTTTTCTAGTAAGTGAACTCTTTGCATCAGGTGGCCAAAGTATTGGAGGTTCAGCATCAGCCCTTCCAGTGAATATTCAGGGTTCATTTTCTTTAGGATTGACTGGCTTGATTGTCTGGCTTGCTAGGTTATCTCTCATCTAATTGATATATAGGAGTTCTCCACACGTTCTGGGTAGGAGTCTTCTCTTAGCTTTGTGTGTTGTGTCCATTAGTTTATGGCTTGCCATTTGCTGGACTGAAGTTGCCAAGTTGGGTGATCTGTGAAACCCTTTTGTGCTCTTAAATGGGAAACAGTGGTTACTCCAGAAGGTTTTAAGAATCAAATGACCTCATAGCTTGAATTGAGTTTCTAGTGAAACTGATACAAAACAATTCCCTTGGGGTGGGGGGAGGGGATGGTATTTATTGTTTACTGCAGTTTATTTTGATGACTGTTGTTAACAAAGATACCTAATTTGGAATATGCATGTAAAGTACTTATTATTTGTTTTGCTAGGCAAAAAGGATAAGTTACGTGTCTACTATTTGTCCTGGTTAAGAAATAAAATACTTCACAATGACCCAGAGGTTGAGAAGAAGCAGGGTTGGACAACAGTCGGGGACCTGGAAGGCTGTGTGCATTATAAAGTTGGTAAGTTCCTCCATGATTGCAAGGGTTCTGCTTTTCAGAGGTTCAATTTATCTTTTATTTAAAATTTATGTGTTTTTGAAGCTTTTAGTGAGAAACGTGTCTCTGATACTCCTAGCTCATTTGAAGCACCTTCTAATCCTGAGGGCTACACGGCTCTGTTTGAATCATCATGGGTTTCCCTTCAGCCGTCCCCGACTTCCATCCCCCTGACCTTGGACAGTCCACATTCTTCTCTGTAAGATGGGGTTCAGAGGAACCTCGTTAAGGAAGCATTGCCTGAAGAACACCAGGCCCCTTGGATTCTTCCTTGGCCCTGCAAGCTGATTCTCACTCAAAGCACTGTGGGTCCTTGGCAGTCACTGATGGAATGTTTGAGAGTTTGCCTAAAGAGCTTTGGCCTGTCGATTTGAATAAAATGCGCTGTGCACAGCTACTGTGCTCATCACTGAGGAAGGAATCTTGCTGGCTGGGCAGCATTTTGTGGCAACCTTTTTGTTCTTTTTCTCTGCAACATTCATGCCCTGCTTCTCATAAGATTTCACAAGAACAAAACCAAAATACATTTTTTGTGTGTGTTGGGGGAAAAAACATCAAAATACTGGCTCTAACATTGGAAATTAAGGAGAAATGATGGTGTTTAGCCCAATTACAGTTTTATGGGTGAGATGATGTGTTCTAATTCCCACTTCAAAGTGGGAAGCTGAGAAGATGAGCAACTGGTTTCTCTATATAGACTGAGAATGTGAGGGGCCTATTGGATGCTGACTTCTGCTTGTGTATTTCCTGTTCTTCTGTGTTTATGAAACTACATGCTGTGGTCAGTGCTTCTGCTCAGAGGGATATTCCAGTCCTTGGTGCTGTCATCTTCTTGATATAATCTGTATGCAGCCCTCAGCTCACTGGTTGCTAATGAGTGTGGATGCCACCCCGATATTAGAGTGATTCTGAGTGATCCTGCAGGGCTCTGTCCTCTTGATGTAGGTTTGGGGCTTAGGATTTTCTGTGCTGTGGTCTTCTGTAACCTTTTTCCTCGTTGAGGATGGTAGCTGAATGTAATAAACTGGCTCATAACAGCTGAAATGTCCCTGAAGAGATGACCCCATGGGGGAGCGGGGGCAGATGGGTTAGACTGAGCTGGACCTTCCCCAGGACAGAGTGCCCGGCTCACTCAGGCCCGCTGTTCACACAGGGTGAACCACGCACACTCATTCGTCACATTTAACCTTCTCTTGTTGTTCAGTCGCTCAGTCGTGTCCAGCTACTTGCGACCCCATGGACTGCAGCCTGCCAGGCTTCCCTGTCCTCCACCATCTCCCGGAATTTGCTCAGACTCATGTGCATTGTGTTGGCGATGCCATCCAACCTCTGCTGCCCCCTTCTCCTGCCCTCCGTCTTTCACAGCATCAGGGTCTTTTCCAGTGAGTCGGCTTTTCACATCAGGTGGTCAAAGTATTACTCAGTTGACCTAGACCTGTGCTGTGTAGAATGGCTGCCATCAAGAACAGGGAGGGTGGGAATGGGTATTTAAATTTATTTGTAAATTAATTAACGTGAAGTAAATGTTAAAGGTTCAATCCTCAGTGACACGAGTACATTCCAGGTCTCCAGTAGCCCCATGGCACATAAAACCTTTCCACCGTCACAGAAAACTATCCCATCAGCACCGGATAGCCTCTTAGAATTGTTTGTATTGTCATAGTCCTGTGATTCATTTGGATAGTGACAACACGTGGAATTTAGCAAGGAGATTTATCAAGTCAACAAGCCGAGTCTCATGGTCAAAGTCAGGATGAAGGACTGCTCTGGTTTACAGAGGCTGTGCAGACACTGGGGTCTACACCAGCCAGTGAGTATCGTGTGGCAGGGCCAGGGCCGTCTGGGTATCCTCTTAGCAGACATGACAGCTGTCAGAGACTGAGACAGCTGTGCGAAGAAGGCCTTCCCGTATATGCATAAAGTTACAGAGAGATTTTTCTTTACTTTTGGTACAGGATGTAGAATCCTATATAGGATCCTACCAATTACTACTGTCTCTATAGCTGGACATGCTGTAAAGTGATACTTGGCCTTACAAAAACAGATAGAATTCAAATTCAGTTGGGTATTTTGTCATAGTTCTTCCATCTGTAAGCTCCATGTGGGACTCGGGAAAGCCCACGTGGAAGATTTGTTCTCTTGCTGGTATTCGGAGCCTCTTGGCTGATAAATCACACCATTATCCTTTGGAACTAATGCCAAGTCCTCCAGACAACAGGGTGGAAAGGCCGACACTGTCCTTGATTATTAAATACTAAGAACGGTAGGAGCAGCATTGAAATTGCTCATTGGTAGTAACCAGGGTATGGAGCGGAGTCCAGCGCAGCACTGAGGAGGATGTGGACAGCCTGCACGTATATTCAGGAATCTGGAAAGTGAACCAGTGCCTGACCTCTCAGCATTGATCTCTCATTGGTTTGGATGGATCGACAGAGAAGGGCATGTTTGCAGAGTTTGCAGAAGACTGCTGAAGGAGCTGAGAGTTCCACCACGATACTGACCTGTGCTCTTCTTACTGTTTCAGTAAAATACGAAAGGATCAAATTTCTGGTCATTGCTTTGAAGAGCTCTGTGGAAGTCTACGCGTGGGCACCCAAGCCATATCATAAATTCATGGCCTTTAAGGTAATAACGTCAAGTGCGCTTGAAAATAGTATCAGCCATCCACACCATGACCAAGAGCCAGGGAATAAGTCGGCTGATCATTCATTTAAAACTGTGCTGTTAGAAGGGGGACAACAAGTATGGAATCAAAATTGAAATATATGTGTATGTCTATGATACCATGGGCTTCCCTGGTAGCTCAGCTGGTAAAGAATCCTCCTACAGTGCAGGAGACCCCGGTTCAATTCCTGGGTTGGGAAGATCCCCTAGAGAAGGGATAGGCTACCCACTTCAGTATTCGTGGGCTTCCCTGATGACTCAGATGGTATAAAGAATCCGCCTGCAAGGCAGGAGCCCTGGGTTCGATCCCTGGGTTGGGAAGATCCCCTGGAGAAGGGAATGGCTACCTACTCCAGTATTCTGGCCTGAAGAATACTGGACTATATAGTCCATGGGGTCACAAAGAGTTGGACATGACTGAGTGACTTTCACTTTCAATTTTTTATCAGCAGTAGGCAGCTTCCAGGTGTATCTGTTCAACGGGACTAATAGTGAAGTTACAGAAATTCTTAATGACATAGTGATGTATATTATACATTAAATAGAATAAGTATTTAAAAATATGTATAGTATACTATTTTTTGTTTCAAGAAAAAATACTGACAGTTATTTTGTGGGTGTTTTTTAATACTTTTTTGTAAGTCTAGGCTGCACTAGATAAAATTTTTAGTTAAAAATGATATTACTATGGCACTAGATATTATAAATCACTTAATAAACATCACTTCTGATGTTTATTAGACACAAAACTTTAAGCATCACCCTGGGCCTATTTTAGTGCAGGGTGAGATATTAAGAATTTTTTTTTAAATAAAAAATGATTGTTTACTTATTTTTTAAAATAGTTTTGACATGTTAAGGGTAGGCCTCCATTATCTGGAAAATTGACATATTTAGATGGTTTATTATTTGATTCTCCAGTAAAGCAAGATAAATGGGGTTATCATATTTGCTTTAAAATAAAGCCACATATTATTGACTAAAAGCAATTGGTTGTAAAGTTACAATTATCTTTTAGGATCTGATCTTAATCACCTTCATGGACCAAGTGCTGTCCTCATTGTTTTATAAATAAATAGCTTATTCGGATCTGTCTCATGAGCTGTAGGTGTTGATGTTACAGGCCACCCAGGCTGTTACAGTACACGGTAGCCTCTCATTACCACTATTAAACAAGTTGGAAAGTTAAAGTGGAAGTTTGAGTAGCTCTGTAGAGACTGTGATGACCACACTGATAAATTCTCCTTATGTGTCTCTTGCAGCACTCCTCTCTCTCTCTCTCCATCATCTGCATTAGAGTAGTTGATGGTAGCAGATAAAAGCAAAATAAAGACTCACCGTGTGGAGTATTTTTGCTTTTGGTTTTTGCCAGGCTGCTTCAGTCATTGAGTAACTGAGCGCCTGGGTCTGGCTTCTCCAGGTGGAACCGTCAGACGTAAGTTCTGCTCATCTCACTGCTGCTTCTCGCCTGCTTCTTTGCAGTCGTTTGGCGAGCTGGTGCACAAGCCATTGCTGGTGGATCTCACTGTTGAGGAAGGCCAGAGGCTGAAAGTGATCTATGGATCCTGTGCTGGATTCCATGCCGTTGATGTGGACTCAGGATCGGTCTATGACATTTACCTACCAACACACGTAAGAAAGAACCCACACTCTATGGTTGGTTGACTGGCTTCACTGTGTTTTGACTTTTCTCTCTGCTCTGCTCAGGGCACTAACACGGGCAGGGGCCCCTCGCTGCCCTTTGCGGTGGGGGTGAGTATTTCAGTGACCTGCCCTCTTCAGCAGCTCTCTGCTCCTGTCTCTGAAGCCCTCCCGAGACGCGCCTAGCCCTGCTTTCACTAACACGGGATGGGAGGGGGCGGCTGCTGGCAGGTCAGGACAGCCATGGGGCGGGACTGTTAGAGGAATGTAATGTATTACATGGAGCCCGTGGTCCAAGCATATTCTGGGGGCCTCAGGAGATGTGAATGAGCAGCATGTAGGGCGTATCAGAGGTAGACTTGCAGATACATATGACATCACGTGGGTTCTCCACTCTGTCGTCCAGTTGCTGTGTTTATCACCAGGAACTGAGCCAGTGCCTCTACACAAGACACTCTTACTAAGCCGTGTGCAGGGGTAGAGGTGGCCACCGACATGCTTCCCTGTGCTCTGTTCCCTGCTCCAGATCCAGTGTAGCATCAAACCCCACGCGATCATCATCCTCCCCAACACGGATGGCATGGAGCTCCTGGTGTGCTATGAAGATGAAGGGGTTTATGTGAACACCTACGGGAGGATCACCAAGGATGTGGTTCTGCAGTGGGGCGAGATGCCAACGTCTGTAGGTACGTGTCCCTGAGCGGAAGAGGTCGTGTTTGTTAAAGTAGAGCCTTTCCTGAAAATGTGTGTGTTTCAGATATTGGTGTTACGTGGTGTTCAGACCGCTCAGCCATTTTAACAGAGCGGTTGGCAGTAGGTGGTGGGAAAGGTAGACTATAGACTGTGATGCGTCATAGTCTTATGTTAGGACAAAATCTTAAGCAGTGTTTTTTTTTTTTTAAATCAATTTATTTATTTTGTTATTCAGTCACTAAGTTGTGTCCAGCTCTTGGCAGCCACATGGACTGCAGCACACCAGACTTCCCTGTCCTTTATGGTCTCCTGGAGTTTGCTCAAACTCACGTCCATTGAGTCAGTGATGCCATCAAATCATCTCACCCTTTGTTGCCCCCCTTCTCCTCCGGCCCTCAATCTTTCCCCGCATCAGGGTCTTTTCTAAAGAGTTGGCTTTTCCCATCTTTTTTTTTTTTTTTAAATAAATTCATTTGTTCTCTCTCTGGCTGTGCTGGGTCTCTGTTGCTGCACGGGTTTTTCTCTAGTTGTGGCAATAGGAGCTGCTCTCTCCTCGTGGTGTGCAGGCTTCTCCTTGTGGTGGCTTCTCCTGATGTGTAGCACAGCCTCTAGGGTGGGTGGGCTCAATAGTTGTGGCTCACAGGCTTAGCTGCTCCACGGCATGTGGGATCTTCCCAGATCAGGGATCGAACCCATGTCTCCCACATTGGCAGGCAGATTCTTAACCACTGAGCCACCAGAGAAGCCCCAAGTAGTTATTTCTTAAAGCTCTGCCTTCATAGTCCTTCATTTAATCTAAGGCAGCCAGGGACAGTAAGACAGATGTAGCTGTGACTAATGGGTGGAAGGTGAGGGGAACAGGAAGGTAAGTGATGCTGTGGCGATCTCATGGCCCAGCCGCAGTCCACACATAGCCTCTGACCTTCTCTGTCCTAAAGACTGACGTCTGGAACCCTGTTGGCTCCAAGTTTATTTCCCCAAACTATGGTTTTATAGCAGCCAAGTCGCTGGCTCTGTCCACTTGCCTTCTCTTCCCCCTGGTAATTGGCATGAGGAAAATATAAGCTAAACTGTGGACAGGGACCGGGGGTGCTGCTCCAGCATGTCCTCCCCAGAGGCATCGGCAGACTCAACTGATAATTGAGAACATCACCTTCCAGGATGAACCGCAAGGTTGCACGTGTAGAGTTCCTTACGTCAGTGGTCCCTTCTTGGCACCAGGGACCAGTTTCGTGGAAGACGTGGGAGAGGAGGGATGGTTTGGGGATGAGTCAAGCACATTATATTTATTGTGTACTTTATTTCTGTTATTACGTCAGCTCCACCTCAGATCATCAGGCGTTAGATTCTGGAGGTTGGGGACCCCTGTCTTACAAAAACCTCCAAATGCCAGCTGTTTAGAGGGGTGGTGTGTGTGTGTGTGTGTGTGTGTGAAATCTGAGCAGCTTCTTTCCATGGCTGTTTGCTCGTCTTTAAAATATGTGTTTTCCTCTCTCCAAAAGCATATATTCGATCCAATCAGACGATGGGCTGGGGAGAAAAGGCCATAGAGATCCGATCTGTGGAAACTGGTCACTTGGATGGCGTGTTTATGCACAAAAGGGCTCAAAGGCTGAAATTCCTGTGTGAACGCAATGACAAGGTAACACTCTCCTTAGGGATTCGTTTTAGATGTTATCTTTCAGCAGTGGTCTATTTTCCATGGAGCTCAGTGAAGCCTTTCCTTGGGATTTTGATAGATTCTGAAATAACTTTATCAAGAACTTTTCGGTAGTTCCTTTTTAGAGCCGTTAATGGAGGTCAGGATATATTTTATTTTGTTTTTGTTGAGGGGGTGGACATGTTTATCTCTGCAGAAATCATTCTGTGTTGGGTTTTTGTTGTCTTTTGAGTTTTTTTTTTTTTTTCCCCCATTAGGCGGCCTGCCTGGGCTATGTTTAGTTTAGGGATAGAAAAGGTTAAAGCTCCCAGTTTAGATGGATGGAACTCTTTTGCGATTAGAAAGAACCCTCATGCACATTCAAATAATAGGGGATATTTTCCTATTATATCCCTATTATATTTCCTATTATATCAGGGGATATCCTTCCCCTGATATATGCTTGAAATATACCACTTGTTAGTCCTTCTTTCGAGTATTGACATAACTGCATTGTCTTCCTGGCATCAGTGCCTAAAAGGAGAAATTATCTTATGCAAAAGCAGGAGTGCTGCCTACAGGTGAGACCTGTGAGACCCCGGAGCATCAAAGCCCAAGTTAAAACCTTTGCTTTTCCAAACTGGCCACATCATTTTCTTATCCAGGAATCCCTTCCTCCCCAAACCAGCCTTGGAGTGGAGCAGACAGCTGGCCAAGGGTGCTGACCCCTCTGGTCTTTTCTAAGCTTAGATTTCTCTCTCATCTGTCACTTGGATGAAAATATGTCTGACTACCTGAGGCAGCCCACGACAGCCTTAGAAACATTTCCACCTCTTGCTTCACATTAAAATATATTAGGCCTCCAGTCACCAGACCTCAGGCTGATTTCTCAAATGAAGAGGAGCTGTCATTTCTAGTTGGCAGGTGGGCCTCCCGCCGCCCAGCTTGGTGCTCTACTCAGGTCCACATCCCCCCAGCCCACTTCCTGCTGCAGTCCAGTCCCCTGGCTCATTCGCCGGTGCACTTGACCTACATAATGTCTCCCAAATCTTTTACCTTGGAAACCCATGCAACCGCAGAGCTAACCCAGGATTTTACCAGCTTTGGGGCTTACATTTTCCTAAGTATGTTCAGTGGAGCCATAACCACGGTATTCTTTGAACTTCAGGCATTTAAATTTTTTTTTAAATCATTCATGATGTCATACCCATCAGGGTTTATTAATAAAAGGCACAAAACTAAATTATATATATTTTTGACAGTAGAGTCCTGTGAAATAACCAAGACATTTCAGTTTCATTTTTTTAAAAGAGAAAAACAAGGCGGCTGAGTCGCCTCCCCACTGATCACTGAGTTTGCCCAACACGTTGATCTTTCGGAAGGTGTTAACGGTGGAGGTGAGCACAGCTGATCCAGTTTGGGGAACATCTTGTTTTCTCTGTGTTCTCACAGTAGGGCAAGGGGTGCGCAGAGTCACCCCTTGGCTAAGGAGTCTTCCTAAGTTAAGGAAATGTTAGTCGCTCAGCCTCCTCTGGCCTTTTGTGACCCCCTGGGCTGTGGGCCCACCAGGCTCCTTTGTCCATGGAATTCTACAGGCAAGAATAGTGGAGTGGGTTGCCATTCCTGCTCCAGGGGAGCTTCCTGACCCAGGCCTCCCCTGGCAGGTTCTTTACCTCTGAGCCCCCAGAGAAGCCCTGCTAGTAGAGATGCAAAGTGGCTCCTTACTGGTGAATGGACGCCACCCAGACCTGCTTTGGGAGGGGGCCTCCGGGCTCCCGCTCACCCCTCCCCTCTCCCCTGCAGGTGTTCTTCGCCTCGGTCCGGTCCGGGGGCAGCAGCCAGGTTTACTTCATGACGCTCGGCAGGACCTCTCTTCTGAGCTGGTAGGAGCGGCGGGCTAGGCTGCCGGCCCCGAGGTGTCGACCATGAGAACCCGGAGATCCTGGCAACTGGAGCGCGGAGCTGCCCGGGCCGCGTGGGCGGGGGTCTCCTCCCCGCCCGCACCCGCTCTTACCAGTTCATCCCCATTCTCTTCTTGTCCTGTTCGAAATAAATCGAGGCTGCATCGCAGCTGGTGCTGGCGAGACTGCCATCAGGTGCTATCCGTGCTGGGATGGAGCGGCGGGCAGAACGCATGCGCATTCCCTCCAGCTCCAGTGTTCCGTGTCTGCGGCTCCATCCTGGGGCGTCTGCGGGTGGAGACCGGACGCCGGCGGGGGGGTTGGCAGGTGTAAACGTGCGCTCGAGGAGCAGGTCGCTGAAGCCAAGAGCAGATTTAATATAGTAACATTAACAACGTATTTAATTGACATTTCTTTTTTTTTTTTGGTAATGTGACCATATGTGGACAAAGAAGAAGGTGCAGGTTTAAGAAGTTAATATTTATAAAATGTGAAAGACACAGTTACTAGGATAACTTTTTTGTGGGTGGGGCTTGGGAGGCGGGTGGGTGGATTTAGGGACCCATTTGGTTTCTTGGGTTGTTTTTTTTTGGCCAAGAACTCAGTCGTTTTTCTGTGTACCAAGTTTTGCCTAAAATCACGTGCAGATGATTCTTTTAAAAAAAAGGAAAAAGAAAGGGTGTGCATTTGTATCCTGCCCAGAACCTTGTTGTGTGACAGTATTAGCGCTGCCTCGGTCAAAGGTTTAATTTTTGTTTAAACCTGGAAGTGCAACAGCAGTTTCACCACGATCGGCACTTGCAGAGGGGAAAAAAAAATCTTTTTCAACCACGTGTTTATTTTTTCGCCTACCTCATTGTTTTTAATGCATTAAGAGGTGGTTTAGTTTCTATGTCTTTGGAGGAAAACATTAATGTTTAACCTTAATACCAAAACGATCCGATTGAAGTTTGACTGTTATTTTGTCATGTCTCAGTAGGCACAAGAGAAATTGTCCCCGAAGGTGGGAAACAGCCATGAGGCTTGTCCGCTGATGGGCACGTCTGCTTTCTGAGCTGAGAAAGCAGATCACACCATTTTCCACCAGATTCATCAGTGGTGGTGGTGTACGGACAGGCGGCCATTGCCCACAGCACACGGGGCCTCGCTGTTCTCAGCTCGGAGTTTGCAGACAGGTGGTCATATGGGGGACAACCCCACAAACTGTTGACAGTGTTGCCGGAACCTTTCCTTGGGGCCGGGGGTGTTTCCCTTTTTCTAAAAATGCAATGCACTAAAACTATTTTAAGAATGTAGTTAATACTGCTCATTCATAAGATAGCATCTTCCTGCGTTTCGGGTGTGATATCAGAGCCCTGGCTTCTCGAGTGCTCTCCCTTGCTCTCTCTCTCTGCGCGCTCTCTCTGTTTTTTAAACCAGTTTTACTTTATGAATATGTTCATGACATTTGTAATAAATGTCTTGGGTAATAATTGGTTTCATGGCTTCTGGTCACTGGCTTCCTCTGAGGATGTTGGTTATATTGATTACTTGTTAAAGGGTGGCTCAGCCGTCTGCCTGTCCTCTGGCAGAGTTCTGATGGGAATCTCACTCACCAAACAAAAGCTCGGTGTGGCCTAGGCTTATTCCTCCTCCGTGGTGAATTTGCTTTTATGACATCAAAGCAGAGGTTTTCTGCCCCAAGAAATTAACAATCACTTGCACCTGTGTGCTGAGTCTGCCCCCCAACCCCCACCCCCACCCCCAAAGCCGCATCCAGTTTGGCATCCACTTTGACCCATTGTTCTCTTCCTCCTGGGTCAGCATTTTTGCCAGAGGCTCCCGCTTTGAATTTCAGAAATGTACTGGAGAGTACACACACTCACAAATGCAGAAACAACAGCTGATGACGTACACCCACCACAGAAGCACCCGCTGAGAAAAACTGCCTCTGTGTTGGAAGGATTCAGTCTGGGGAAACAGGCTTTCCATGCGTGTTGACTTCAGCGTAGTGCTGGCGTCTAAGGCAGAAAGAACCAGTTCTGTTCTGGTCATTTGTGCTTAAAGGAGAGAAGATCCAGGCGCTGATCCTGCCCTTGGCAGGAGTTCTGAGACTGGCCAGACTAGTCGCTGCGGGGCTGCAGTCCTTGCCACATCACTGCTGGTGATTCCCTTCTCAGGTTGGCTTTTGACTGGAGACGAAATGTGCCCTAGCAAACACGTGTGCCAGGGTGAGAACGGACTGCGTAGTGGGGTCAGCTGTAGCCCCTCCCATGACTTCAGCGAAAGGTCAGGTTGGGCAGGTGTCTTTCAAAAAAATACTAAACTTCTGATACCAATGTGAAAGATATAAACAGGTTGAGGATGATGGGCTCCGAGCTCAGGTCAGCGTGGGCCTGTCCTACCTGGGCAGCAGCTGGTGGTGGTGGAGTTGAACGTGATTGAATCCGTCAGCTGGGCTTGGCTGACCGAGGTCAACCAGCCACTGGTCCCCTGGTTGGGTGCCTCGGGTCGCCTTCCTTGTCTGGGGTGTCCCTCCCTCCTTGGCCTTCCCGCCATGCAGACCAACTTAGGTTGCTACAGCTTCAAGCAGGCGCTGGGTTAGCTTTCTTCATGGGAAATGGCAGGCTCTCTCCATTTCATTCCTAACAGGGTAGTGACTTCACTCAAGTGCCAAGATGGCAAAATTAGCAGGAGAATTTAGTATTGTGCTGATACCACTAAATATGGAACCTAGAAAACCATGACAACTCTTCCAAACAGAATACCAGTATGGCTCTAGGTTTAGTTGAAGCTTTAATAAGTGATACTTTTCTGTATTTAAAACGGAGTCTCTATATCGAGTGCAGTTTTTTGGGTTTTTTTTTTTTTACTTTTTCTCATGCACATGTGTTGAAGAAAATGTTTACAAAAAATAGTTTTGTTACACTAATGGGCATCACATATTTATGGTCTATTTTTAAGTGATTTTTTTTATGGGTTATTTAGGCTTTCGTTTTAGTTGTAGTCCACTTAAATGATGGTTCATAATCCCTAATTTTGCCAATTATAAATTTGCTAAACGGTAATGCAAATGACAAGCTGCATTAAGTTTACTAATCAGAACTGCGAAGCAGACTGGTGGCAAGTACACACACAGCCTTCTTTTTTCAGTGCTAACTTGTCTTCTGTGTATTATGAAAATGACTGTTGTCCCTCTTCTTCCCCTTTTTTTGTCCTTAAATAAAGTAAAAGTGACACCTGTTTCATGTGGCATGAGTTTCAAATATATTCTGTCCCTGCAGAATGTTCACTTTCTGTAAGGATCCTCCTTCCCTGGTGCTACCCCAAGGCCCGAGTGAGCAGCTCCCAGATTTTGCCATCTCCCTGAAAGGGGTGGGCCAGGGGATTCCCAGGCACAAGTTACAAAAGCGGCAAACATTTGTTCGGAGATCTTAGAATGAGGGCCTTCTCTAGTGGTCCAGTAGTTAAGAATCCACCTCCCTTGAAGAGGACATGGGTTTGATTCCTGCTCCAGGAAGATTCCACTTGCCGTGGAGCAACTAAGCCCGTGTGCCTCAACTGCAGAGCTGGAGCAACCCACTCAAAGGAAGCGTTGTGCCACATGGGCAACCAAGAGCCAACACAGCCAAGTAACTAAATATTTTATTTAAAATCTTAAAAAGAAATTGATAGTGAGCTCGTGATGGCCATGTTCCTGAAGCCAAAAGCAAAAGGAAAGCTTCTTAGGAAGAAACCGGGTTTTGTTTTTCCAAGCCTGAATTGGATCAAGAAGTAAAATGCATGCTCTCTGTTCTGTAGCTAATTGGACATTGGGAGGAACCCTTTCTCAAATTGGTGCATAAACAAGACCTGAAGCCTGATCATTAGAGCTCCCCCAGTGCAAAGTCATCATGGCCCTGCCATGGATGTGCTCCGTCAACACCCGTACACCCCACCCCCTAGCTTGGCAGGAACATTCCTCACTGGGTACATTCCAGGTCAGCCGTGGGTGTCAGCACTTTGCCGGAGCCCCCAAGTTGGGGAGGACTAGCCATGCAATTTCATCATCAATTGCACGTGTTGGTCAACTAGCTCCTCTCTGCTTCATGCTAGAAACACGTTCCTGCTTTAAGGTGAAAATAAACTTGGAAATACCTAGGCCACCTGCTCTAAGGTGAAAATAAAATATCTAGGCCACCAAATGAGTGAGTTCCCTTCCACCTCGTCTGTTGTAGCTGGTATGGGTGATAAGGAATAAACCTCCGGTGGTCTGTCATTCTGGACCCTTGTTCCAGCTTCCCTCCATTGGTGGGGGTTTCACAGGAGGTCAGGAGGGTCAAGTCATCCCCTCTAAGGATGACTTGGTGACACTGCTGCCCTCTTTGCCATCTAGGACTTAAACAGTGCCCATGCAGAAGTAGGTACTGCATTTTGCAAAGTAAAATGGCTAAGGAATTAAGCCATTTTCTCAGGAGAGCAGTAACAGGTGTTCAGGTAGGAGATGCTCATATCGTGTCGTCTGTGTATTTCAGAATCTGCCTGGCACCCTTCCACTTCTGCCTCTGTCTGACCTAACTTCCTTGTGCTCGAAGTTCACCTCATTTCTCCTCCCTGATTCCCTGATGATGGCCCAATGTTACCTTGTTCGTTCTGTTTGTATCTGTATACAGACCCAGCATATGACAGTATTCTGGCAAATCCCACGGACAGAGGGGCTGAGGATGGGGCCGCAGAGAGTCGGACGTGACCGAATCACTGAGCATGCTTTTGAGCTGTGATTGGTTCTCACTGGCTTGCTACTCTAATTTCCTTGTCGTTTGCTTTAGTAGCTTGAAATAAACCCCTGATGTTCATCTGAAGAGGAAGCCAGGCCCCTGTGCAGCATGGGGCTTGTGAGGAAGTGCCCTGGGGCAGCTAGGCCCCAGGAGGGCTGTGAGCCCCGCCTACTCCAGGCAGGACCACCCAGTCCTGGAGCAGACAGCCAGCCCCATTGGCTGCAACTTGGCTTCTTGTGAAGACAGTGTGGGACCTCGATGCCTAAGTCTTACCTCCTAGTTTCCTTGGTTACAGGAAATTTGAATTCGATGGTCCGGCACAAAATTTACTGTTTTTATTGTGGTCTGAATTCTACAGTTTTGGCAGCTTCTCCCCTCCGAAATTCCTGCTGCAGGGAGATGACGTGGATGGAGCATCAGCCAAGCAGCGTTGCTCGTTCCTCATTTGGAAACCAGAACTAAACAGCTTTTCTACAATAAACTATATTAAATACTGCCTTGATTCTTTTATTGACAACTTTATTGAGGTGATCTATACCACACAATTCACCATTTAAAGTGTGCATGTAACTCCATCAGAGATGTGAATACATCACCACAATCCATCTTTAAACATCGTTATCACCACAAGAAGACAGCCTGTACCCCTTTGCCGCCATCCCCTGGTCCACTCCTCTCCCATGCCCCTAAACGCCATGCAGTCTGCCATCCGCCCTCTCTTGATGTGGATGAGTCTCTTGGACGTTCCACATCAGTCGTTTGTCACTGGTTCCTTTCGTTTCTCAGGATGTCTGGAGCTTCACCCTGTTGTAGAGCGTGCTGTTTCTTTCTCTGTCTGTGTTCTTCCTTTCTCTTGGCATCCTCAGTTCATCATAGTTGCTGTTGTTGCCTTCTTTCAGCCTTAGGATCGATGGACCACCACACTGAGAGCAGAGAAATTCATTTACTTTTCAACACCCCACCCCACCCCACACACACACCCCAAGACTGAAATTGTGGGTTTCAGCCAGCACTTCTCAGTTCCGAGTCAATTCTTAAGTTTTCCATTCCACCTTTGTGTCCAGACTCTGATTCCTGCCGCTGTGCGGTTCACACAAGCGCTCAGCCCGTGCAGAAGTGGAGAAACTAGTGACTGTAACTGCATCACGGCACGTTCGCGCGTGGCCCAGTGACTAACGCGAGCAGACTCTCCCATTCCTCTTGGTTCCCCCCGTCCTGTGGCTGGAATGCAGGCTGTGGCAGGTAACTGTCGCTAAGAGTTCAGGTTGTAACCTCCCTTTTGTTGAAGTACAGCCCTCTCGTTAAACTGATGCTTTGATGGGCTTCCCAGGTGGTCGGTGGCGAACATTTCACCTGCCCGTACAGGAGACGCAGGAGATCCCTGTGTGTGTTCAGTCCCCGGGTTGGGAAGATCCCCTGGAGGAGGAAATGGCAACCTGCTCCAGCATCTTTGCCTGGGAAATCCTATGGACAGAGGAGTCCATGGAGTCGCAAAGAGTCGGACGTGACAACAAATGCTTTGATACCATTCAGGAAAATCAGGTGCAGTCATTCTAGCACAGCGTTTATGTTGAAGCCATTATTGTGAACCAGGTGTAGACTAAGTGAATGCTCCTGGAATCTGCCGGAAGTAAGGGCTTTTTGTGGAGGACCAAACTCTTGTCTTAGAAGATACTTCCCCAAGATCAGTTCATCAAGTTCTGCTGAGAGTGTATTTGTAACCTCCATAAAACTGAACATGAAGTATCTGCACCAGAATAACTTGTTTTACACACAAAAGAGTTTATCCATCCAGCCAGTGCTTCTGAAGCACCATGCTTGGAGCTGCTGTGTTGCATGCTGAGCTCATTGTATAACCCAAAGGAAGAGGATCCAATTGTGGCTCAGACTCCAAAAGGAAGTTTATTATAAGGAATTGAAAAGAGATGCTGGCCACCCTGCAGCTGTGGAGCACCCCAAGGCACCCCAAGGACAGGGTGGGGCTCAGGAGAGAAGGACCCACAAGGTTGCATGTGTAGACACCTAAGTTCTGTAGCAAGTTCCTAGCGTGTGTCACATCACCTGGAGGACTTGTTAGAACCCATTGCAAATTCCAAGCCCATCGTTTTGGGTTCAGGAGCTCTGAGGTGGGGCCAGAGAGTTTCAGGGGTTTCTGATGCTGGTCTGGGACTATGCATAAGAACCCCCCCTTAAAAAGAATTCATTTGAATCAGTTCTAATGAGATGGATGAAACTGGAGCCCTTTATACAGAGTGAAGTAAGCCAGAAAGATAAAGACCATNCCCCGTGGGGTCTTTGCAGATTGGAGATTAAACCTATGTCCCTGCATGGCAGTGGATTCTTTGCCACTAAGCCACCAGGGAAGCCCATTTTGCTGTTTTCTACCTCTCAAATTTTGCTTTACAACTTTTTTTTAAGAGTTTCATACTTAGTAACGTTTTTCTGTGGGTTGATCATGAAATCTGAAAATGGAGGTATAGTGTTTACATTAGTTCAACTCTAAATGCTGTTCTGTACCTAATCGAGGACTAGATAGAACTACTTTTCACTCCTTACAGTCAAATGTTATGACGTCTCTTCCACTGAAGGGAAGATATTTCTTATATCTGAATCAAACTGATGATCTTTTTCCATACTCTATTAACTGATCCAACTGTGGTTCTTACTTTAGCCATGGTTTTCCTACATAGATTTCCCCCCTAGAATCCCAAAATACTTTTAAAGAAAGCTATATTCATCTTAACTTTCAAATCATCCAGACTTTCACTGATAATCACCTACAGAATACAATCCACTGTTCCAAGTAAGAGACATCCCACTTCCTGGTCTAGCCTGGGCCTGTTGCTATCTAGGACAGCTGGCCGTTTCTCATTCTGAGACTTCCCTTTGCTGATCACGGCCCCTCCCCCTACCTGGGTTCTACTGTTTTCTGGATTTCATTTCCTTCTCTTTCTTGTTTTCCTTCCTTATTTTCTTGATATCCTTGAGTAACTTTCTCAGAAAGGGTATATGGGAGGGACACTAGGTCTTTGTCTTTCTGAAAATGCCTGTGATCATTCCATCTCTATTGTTTGATTGATAGTTTTCTTAGGAATAAAATGCTATGTTAACATAAACTTCCCTCAGAATTGTGAAGGTATTTTTCCGTTGTCTTATAATATATGATTGTTGGAGGTGTGAGGACTTGTTTTCAGTATGATTCTCACTTTTTGATGCTTGAAAGTTTCTCCTTCTGGAAACATCCAGAATTTTTCTTTTTGGTATTCTGAATACTCATGAGTCTTCTTTCCTTTATGGATTTTTTCCCAATTACTCCTTTAGTGGTGCCTTTCTGTCTGAGGTCTGGTGACTTGATTTGACACTGGGCCTTTTTTTTTTTTCCCCAGTTTTTCCCCCCACTTTCACTAACTCTGACATCAAAGGGACGCCTATGAGCTGGATGTTCTGCTTGTTGGATTGACTCATTTTTTCCCTTTTTATTAAAGAT